TTTCCAGTTTATTGCTGAATTTCAGGTTTTTGTTTCTCTGATTTATTTGTCTTAGGTTTTCCTTCTGTTTTTTTTCCTGTTGTCGTTCTTCTGTACAAAAAGATAAATAGATATTGATAAGAAAATATTCAGTAAATACTACAAGATAAAAGATTTATGGAGATGAATTTAATTTAACGGAAGTTTCAGTCTGTGATCAACCTTGGGGAATTACTAAAAAGTAGGGAGTTTTGGACAGCGATATAATCGGTTAGTATTGATAACTTTTCCGTGAACTGACTGAAGTTGAAAATGTGAATCATACTATTTTAATTCGGTGATCCAAACGCTATACGGTTGGCTTAAGGTCTAATAGGGATTTAGGTGCTTGTTATTGAAAAGGTCAGAGGTAGGACAAATTAAATGTTTGATTGTGGCCAGTTTTCAGTAGCACTCCTGATATCAATCCATGATGAAAACTGCGGTTAGTCAACCCTTAACATTTATCAGCGAGACAATTTTGCTCCTGATTTTGAAATTTAAGGTAATATGGTTAAAATAGTTCACAGTTGAGCAGATGTATTTATTCTTTATCTTTCCGTTCAGTTTTTAAGTTATAATATTATTCCATACTCTTTTTTTACCGATTTTATTTGTTGCTTTTAAACTACATTCCCTACGTTTCGTCCTATACTCCCATAGACATTGTTGACTGGGTTTTAAATAATGGTTACTGACGAAATATTGGAAGCTTCTTTTGTTTTATTCATAATCTGTCCATTGGAATTGCCTATATTTTAATGGCAATGCTTACGCGGGCACTCGAACCCAGTGCCCATTGGATTACCAACTGGGATTCAGGTACATACAGTTGCCAAGTTCAAAATAGGACATTTTGGACTGCGCAAAATAAAATGAACTTCCAACTGTAGGTAAAGTCGATGAATCTGTTCTGGGAAAAAATATTTATGCGAACTCATTAAAACAAATATTGAGTGTAAGTTACAAGCAAATAGAAATCCTTACAATTAATAGATTATCGACATTGTTGTTCATTCACTTCAATTTTATTAATTTCCTCTCTGTGTTAATGTGAAGCGTGACGATTTGGGTCAAACGTTCAAACTTAGTTGACAAGAGTTAGAATAAGTTAGATATAGAGGTTTTATAAATCCTGGAGAGAGATATGAAATTACGCTTTTCAACTCAGTAATAATAAACCATCTACTACACATGTGTGGTGGAAATCTTTCTTTACAGTACCAGATGTAGTTAACGTAGAAAAATACAGTACCAGAATAAAGTTAACTTAGGGAAAAATGTGGGAAAAGAGTATGTGTGTCTATGGCGTTTTAGCAGATGATCCTGAATCGGCTCTACAGTCTTTTTTTAGGAGCTAGAAATCATAAACTGAAATTCTACCAAGGTCCGTGTATTGTAGTGTTTTCTTTTTTATTCCTGGATAATTTCTATTATAAATTAAGTGGTTGTCACTCTTTGATAGCATTTAGTTGGATAAACTTAGGTTAGATACCCAACTTACTTATGGGAATGATCCTACGAATCATGGATAAGATTTTTCTCTTACTTTAGGTGCTGAGAACTCCATATTGTATCAAACACATTGAATTAAACGATTACCATTGTGTCATGTAACTTTTCGATCCTTAATGGATGTAAAAGGTCCCAATAACGTTTAATTTTCTATAGTTCTCGAAACAAATATAAAACGCATTGCTAATAGTTATATTATCAAGTATAAACTTCTAAATTTCCATAAGAAAGCATTTTAAACGTGTGAACGATGCAATATTGTTCTTTGAGCAGAGACACTATCAACTGTCCACTACATTTAGGAACATAATTAAATTATTCTACTTAAATACTGGGTTATTTATAACTGGGTAAAAGACTGTTAAAAATGCTAAGACTTAAGCAGATCAATTCAAAGGAATTTCAATACGGGTAAACTACAACTAATGTTCTCCACACGACCAATAATCACTGCGAGGTTGAAAGATAAATAACCTAAACTAGCCACCTCCTTCTGTATCTATCAATTCAACTGCTCCTGTGGAGCAAGTTATATTGGCAGATGTTCTAGGAATTTGTATATTCGGGCACGTCAGCACCTGTCCGTGTGGTGAAGCAAAAGTATAGTCAAAACTGTTAACAGCTCCATCTCAGACCATCTAGTTCAAACAGGACATACAGCCAACATGGAGCAGTCTTTTGCGATAATCTATCGTGTTAACAACAGTCTGCTTAATTCCGTCAGACTGCAAATCCTACAGACGGCTGAAGCAATTACTATTCGGATAAAAAAGACAGAGCTTTGCATCCAAAAGAAGTATGTTCAGCCACTCCTTTTACCCTGGTCAACTTTTGAGCCAACTAGTTAATAATTATTACAATTGATTGATCACTGGGTGGTGATCAATGTCTTGCTTGTCTAGTCCTTATTAGTGCAGATCGAATGCTATCGATAATGATATTAGAAGACGAAGATTATCATTATCGAAAGTTAATAATTAATTTTATGATATGGTGACGTAACCTGATTAATGTTCAGTTTATGTCCCAAACTTATCTTATTACTATTACTATTATCTTTACCACTGTGATTATCACCTTTATTATTGTTATTATTATTATTATGATCACACTTGCTAAACATTTTGAGAAATTTATTCAGTATTAACCCCTAAATCTACTATATCTGACCTAATTCATATTATTCTACATATTACGTAATTTCCGATTTGTAATCACAATATTCTCTCTTTCTTACCCCATGTTGACCATATTTATTCTGATCATTTATCTCACAATTTCATTTCACTTATAAACTGATTCAAGTTAACACTTTATATTAAACAGTCCCAACATTAACGATCTGAATTGATTTTATATAACAAACAACAATTCTCAATTCACATATTACAATTTCCAAATGATGTACTCTCTGTCTGAAATCTGGTCAATTTTATGGATTATTAATTTGGATATGAGATAATTGTAGAACCTGATGAGAAATTATTGGAAAGAATATTCTTCGTTCATACAATTGTGTTTTTATTTGAATAGTCTTCTTCGTATAGTTTGAGGCCTCAATCTAAGCGGATGATTGTTTTCAACCCCTTTTCATTAGGTTTTATTAATTTGCAGGCGGGGAAATTTATTTAGAAATATTTTGATCATTTTGGTTAAGAGAATAATAATTATATGAGTATGTAGATCTGAGGGTAATAATTGTGGCCATATTTATAACAAATCATGAAAGTGTTTTTTTGAAGTTTATTACAAAATTCATAAGTGTATGTCCAGAATAGACAAATAAAGAAACATAAACAGACCATATGAATAATATGCGAAGACTTTTTATTTGTAGTTGTAGAGAGATGGTGAACTGCTAGAAAAACGAATTTGCTTACATTAAACACCCCAATTTTAATATTTTTATTAGTGTCTTTGGCGAGAATATAATTTATGGACGAACCAATCAGATTTACGATAATAACCCTTGGATTTCGGCGCGAAATTCTTCATCCATTTGGCTAAATAGCGTCTTGGCATTTTAGCTGAAGTCAGTTCGTGACGAAAACCCTAAATGTAATCCCTAGCTCTAACCATCAATTGTAAATCACAATCCTTATACTTCACACAGGTTTAAAACCCTCATTTAGCCCTAGTCAGTAGGTGGACATTCTCAAGGCCACTTTAGCGTTTCTCAAAGGTCGTCCATAAATTATAGTCTCACCATGTCTTCATAAAATTTAAAGGAGAGATCACTTTTCCATGACTTCTTTATCAATTTATTTAGAAATATTTTGATCATTTTGGTTAAGAGAATAATAATTATATGAGTATGTAAATCTGAGGGTAATAATTGTGGCCAGTTATAGTTTGTCTTAATATGTTTATTATAGGCAGTAGAAGCCACCGTGATCTATCTTAGCAAACTGAATCTCTGTATTCATAGAGAATATGGACAACCACCACTATAACTTTGAATATTTACATGGCTTACACCTTCATCTAACACTATTTAAGAGACTATAGCTAGTTAAAAACAGTTTAAATTCCCTTGTTTTTCTATTTAGCAGATCGTGCCTGTTGTAATATTTGCCTTCTAATTCGTAAGCAATTGTTGTTAATAGAGAACTTGCTAACAAAAAATATATCTCTTACAATTTATTATCTGTCATTTTCATAAATACATGTTTCGATTCATTTATTAATAGAAGTTCTGAATATTATAATTATTCCTCTGACCTTCACCTTTGAATTACTCCTTTAATCATTCATAAACACTTCCGAGTTTATAAAGTTGCTAATTAGCAGACTACCAATTGACTGGGAGTTACTTTCTTGTTAATCGAAAAACATACATATTAGTGTAGAACCATGATGAACAGCTTGGTGGAAGAAGTATTTTTCTCAACTTATATTATTTTGAATATGTATAAGAAAATTGTTGCCTTACCAAGATGTTTTTGTTTGCCCCAATTACAGCAGTCAAATTTATGACATACCATTTTATTTTTGTGGCTAACTAAATTTCGGTAGGTCCGTGTATTTTTATCAATATTTGAAGGCATTACTCATCATTTAGGATATTACAGTACTGCTCATTAGACTACATAGCCAGGTGTTAACGATCAAGTCCGATCACAGACAAATATGTTCGCTGTACGGAGGAAGGGAAACAGATTGAACTATCACATTACACCTGAATATCAAGATTTTAATAATATAATCCTTCAAAATTCTAAAGTTAACTTTGGTCATAAGTTGACCTCAGATTGAGGACCATTGAAAATGAAAAAGCGCCCACTAATTCAGTTCTCGTGTTAGTCATAATACCTCTAGACCATAGAGTCGGAACCCAACAGTTCACAGTTTCAACTGAAATCAGTTTGTGATAGATTGTAATATTTCTGTTTAGAAAATCTTCACCATATTCGTATTTATTTTGAAATTCAAAAAAAGTTTACTACAATGCTTTAGAGAAACGTATAGTAGAATAATAGTAACAATAGCAAAAGCTATCGTTGATAATCCGAAAATGTAGCACAATTTCTTATTGAAATAATTTGCTACAATAAATAAAGCGAAAATAACATGTGAAGATTAGAAAAAAAAAAACTCATGCTTTTCAATATTGGTTCAGAAAGTTATTGATAATTTGTCTTCCCATTGATGTCCTTAAAATTGTTTTATCTTTTCTATAATTAAAATGAATTATTAAAGTAAGTTTGTAATGCTGTTATCCATGGCTCTGAAAACGGTGCTATTCCTTTGAATTGTGTTAATGAACTGATCAATAAATTTTGAAAATGTATATTATGTAATAAATTCTTGAGTGTTGATGATTGACCATTACTTTCAAGACTCGTAAATATATCTTGAAGTTTATCCTGTGATTATATAAAAATAATAATGCGATAACAACAGAATAGCATAAAATATATAGTATTAAAACAAATTTATCAAGAAAAATATTCACAGACTGATATCAAGTACAGAAGAGTTGACAGCTAAGGGGTTATGGAAAATTGTTTCATTTTTAGATTGAAATTCTTCAGTAATGCGCACTTATCATTACACAAAGAGTGAAATCTAGGGTTTTTCACAGAAATACCTCATTAAATGATAGTATTTATGCTTATACTTTATACTTGCGATTATATGTATGTGAGGGACTGATTTCTCTTCTTGTTGATATTAATGACTGAATTTGATCAATCACTATTGGGACTTTACTAAAACTTATGTTTAAAGGCAATGTATAGGTAACCTCCTGAAGTTGCACATACGACAATGGAGGATAAAAAACGAGAAAACTCAAACCCTTACGTATATATAACTTCATTTTGTTGAACGGGTTAGTGATCGTATGAACTCAGTAGCTCAGTGGATAATGAGTTGCCATTTAAAGCTAATGGTACTGGGTCTCAAAGCAAACATCAATACTAGGACTCAGTTACATTCAGTCGATGAGTCGCAAAATGAAATTAACACGAATCCTGGATTTCACTACAAGTCATAATCACACTTTACTAACATGTGGTTAGTTTTGCTTCAGGTAGACGTTTAATGCACTAATGTAAATTCATTTAGATGGAAGTATTTTATGTCAAGGCAATGGACTCGTTTCAAGTGATAGAGATGAATTTATTCAGATTATATATACTGGTATTTGTCAATCTATTTCATTCTTACTATTGATGGAATATCCGTATGAAAGGAATATAATACACAACTCTTTAGATTGTGCTAATTTATAGCAATAAAATAATAATAAAAAAAGAGAATTCAGTGAAGAAAATTCTCTTTTCGACGAAATCATTTACTTAAGCTGTACGTTCGTATATATATATATATATATATATATATATATATATATATATATAGTTATATGGAAGATGTATGTCTATAGGAGGATAGAAAAAATTGCATCACCAAAATGGATTCGCAGATAAATAACAAATGAGGTTACATACTAATCAAGGGGTAAGGAGAATGTAAGACAATCACTAGTTCTATACAGGAGCATTTAATCGATTTTGGACACACCGCTCCCAAGTATTCTTCTTTTAAAGTGATCTATAGAGTTAAAGGAACTGGATCGAAGGGGTGTCGAATCAATATTCTATGCACTGCTGAGGCATTGGTAATTCACGAACTCAAGCTCGAACTTTGCATGCAGAAACGATTTGTCCAACCTCTCATCCTTCCTTGGCCTTATTCCCTTAATGGGTATGTTTCTATTTTTCTTTCTTCTTCTTCTTCAGATTCTAGTATCTGTTATAAATTGAAACTATCATAATGGTAAATTTCGCAGATTGAAATCATGAGTCAGTTGAATGGTAGTCTAGCTTCAACTGACTCATGATTTCAATCTGTGAAATTTCTAAAATCTCCACAAAACCCATTCTGATAATAATCAACTGCTCATTAGTGACTGACTTCAGGAGACACTCCTGGATTTCTAATGAGAAGTCGTTACCAGTGGAGTTCAACCAGGTCTGTTGTGAGATAACAGCTCACTGAAGACAATGGTGCATGGTGGCGCAACTTCGTGGATTGGTTGAAGTTAGACATTAACACCGTTGGCTGCCGGCTCAGTGGTCTAGTGGTTAAGTGCTCAGGCGCGAAGCCAGTAGATCCTGGGTTCGAGTCCCGCTTGGTGCGGGATCGTGGATGCGCACTGCTGAGGAATCCCATACTAGGATGAAACGGCCGTCCAGTGCTTCCAGGTTTTCAATGGTGGTCTAGCTTCAACTGACTCATGATTTCAACTTGTGAAATAATAATAATATTAATCTCATAATATAAAAATGGCTATCGCTTTTGATTGAGTTATCTTTGTAACGTTGTCCATAAGTAACAGATTCATTGACTGGAAACTGTTAAAGCTAAACATTCAGTTGTACACAATAGTGGGAAATAAGTTTATGAGGAGTGCTATATTGGCTAGAGTAGTTATTACCATATTTATTTTTCCCTATTTACTCATATCTTTACAGTTCATTTTAATATATTTCTCGATGCATTTGTCAGCCAATAAAGTACGGCACTATGAACCACTACCTTAGCGAACAATATCCTGTGTTAATATTTGTATCTACCCTGGGTGGCATTCAAGATTTAACTTGTTTTGATTTTAAAAGTACTTATATTGTCTATTTTATTTTGTTCCGTTTGATGTTTTTTATTTTTTATTTTCGTTAATTTTCACGTGATTGATAGTGTTGTAATTCAAAATGTATTGGATGATATTCATCTCTAATCAGTCAGTTAGTTCACCTGTCGGTAATAATCAGCGTGTCCAACTAATAATCAATTAGTTTGTTAGTCACAATAATTAAATTACGAAAAATGCATTTCATTTCAAGAAAACAAGTTAATATGGGGATGGGGATAAATTCCATATTGTGAAGTCATCTAAGTGCATCGTAGTCAGTAATTACGGTTATGTTTACGTTTATGTAGTTGCTCAATTGTAGATATTTCAGTGTAATTTTTATTATAGAATTAGTTCGAGGTACGTCTTTTGTTATGTTGTAATTTTTCTCCCATCCTGACTGAGTGCGCCACACTGGACATTTCCGTACCATGACAGGGTGGTATTTCCGTCGTAGAAAACTTTATATTTTTGTCGTAAGCCAGTAAAAACGATAGAGACCAAAACGCGCCCTTCATCATGGATTACGGTAGTGTAAATAATAATTCGCGTTTCATTTTGGTTGGTTGTTAGGTTTGTTAGCGAAAGTGGAGTTTATCGTCACCCTATTTCGTGTCCATTTTATATACATATTAGGTTACCAAATTGATAATTTGCAAACTATATGGTTTTTAAAAACTAGAGACTAAGGAATTAGAATTGGTTTGTGATCTTTCATCATGAGGGTTGAAACTCAAGGGCCCGAGAAGGTTGACATACATTTCCATTTGTTTAGAACTGAAATACTGAACAAGTAAGCTTCATTTATTTAATTATGTAATGATGGTAGCTAGAATTAGAAAAGAATTATTTGCCTGCTATATTCAACCCAACAACGGGCGTACTTTGCACGTAATGCGTTGATTTCTGTAAAAGCTAAATTCGTTAAATGTCTCATTTTAATTCCAGTCAACATGCGTTACTCCTAGCTGTTTAATCTTTAGGTCAGTCGACATTATCTATCCATAATTAAAGCTTCCTATCTAGACTGTCACAGCTTACTTAATTAATTGAATAATTTTTAAGTTATGAATGTTTAAAAAAGTTATGTACATTTAAAAACCTGTGTAATTATATAATTTGAATGGATTTTAAAAAATCACAAATTGATATCAATGGTTGGACCCATCAGTCAATCTAAGCCAGACCACCATTAAGAATCTTGAAGCAATGGATGGCCGTTTCGTCCTGGTACGAGACTCGGCACTGAGCACCCACGATTTCATACTACGGACTCGAATCCAGGATCTTCGGTCTCGTGCGCGAACACAACTTCCAGACCACTGACTCGGCATCTAACGGTGTTAATGTCTAACTTCAGTTGATCCATGATCTTGTGCAACCCTTGATATCAGTTGAAAAACCATTTATGAACAGCAAGCATTGGGTAAAGACTGACTCTTTGGGATTACGCACCTCATTAATCTACCTTTCTTGCAGTGAGTTGAAATCCGTTAGTTACCATTTCCGACTTCAGTTGATTCATGACAGAGAGGAAATTCTATCTAGTGTCATCGATGGTTTATTCTCACATTTCACATGAATGATTACACAGCCCATAGTTTACCACTTGAACTTCTAATGATCCGTTAGTGGTCACAGGATTATTACTGAATTAGATGACTGAAAAAAACTTCATTTTCACTGTGGCATCTTAGGCTCATACGGATGAGGAGTTTTACACTAAGATACGATAGCTATTAAATGATCCATTCCAACGGTTCTTCAGAAAATGTCATCCCATCAAAAAAATTTATTTCAAATTCTAAAGTATCCGGAAATAAGTTTACTCACCCTAATTGATAATTTTTATTTTCATATTTTAACGTCATAGTCAGCTGTTGGGATGTTAGTATGAAATTCTGTATTCAATATCCGTAATTTCTTTTACACGTGTTGATACTGACTTTTTTCTACTTCAGTAAATGAACAGACTACGAAACTTCTACCTTCATCATGATATTGTTTTAATAATCAGAGAATCATGGTAGTAGCTAGATTATGAATTAGCTTGTTATCACCAATTTCCATTTTACTTTGTCTATACTTTAAAAACGTTTTTGATTTGGACGAACACACAGTCATCTACATTCATTTATCATCGCCAGATTTCTTTACAAAAATAGACACTTACTGAATTAGGTGAAGAATTGAATAAAATAATTCAGTATATGTTAATGATATATGGGTTATATAGACAATTTGAATCTCATCTTTTGATGTACTTACTGATATAAGGGAATTCCCTGGTTCAGACGCATCCAAAACTTGAAACGTTTCCAGATCATCATGAACAGTTCGACACTGGTTTGTATTAACTAGACCAAAGCTTAGAATCTATAATTAAAGAATGAGATTAAAAGTTTTTTGATAAGTGGCAGAAGCAATTTCATAAATTTTGAAATCAGTAATGATAATAATAATACAGAAAGGATTATATTCTTGAAGTTACTGGTTTTGATCTTTTATGTTATCATGATTGTTCAATATTGAAAAGTTTAAACTAAAATCAGTTGCCAATGAAAGCTATCTTCCAAAAGATTAAGCAAAGTGGTTTGAATATCCAAGTACTAATTCATGTGAATAAAAGTATTTACTTAAGGATTAGGTGATTTTTTCATGTACAATAGACATAAAACTACTGTATACATATAATTTTAATAGAAAATTGTGAACATTACTATTATCAGAAAGGGGTTTTTGTGGATATTATAGTAATTTATTAGTTGAGTTCATGAGTCAATTGATGCTAGACCATCATGGAACATCTGAGAGCACTGGACGGCCGTTTCGTTTTAGTGTAGGACTGCTCAGAATTACTATTTTACGCATTAAAACAGTGTGATATCAGTTTCTTATTATATTTTTGTTGTAATATAGAAAACATGAGGGAACTTAATTAATGACACTTGACCTTATTTGTACAAACATGCTGTGTTTTGGAATGCAGTACGCAGAAAGATATAGGTGGTACGATATAGTTTCCTCTTTTTGGTAACAATATTCATAATTACATATATTTTCTGATTAAGAGGTGTTCACAACTATACAACTTGTTCAAAATATTCAATTAAGTTTAAATTTAAATAGAAATTTACTGATATTTTTCTGTAGTAAGTGACGAATTACTTGCCTCTAGATAACTCAGTTTTTGGTGAGGAAGAAAAGAATACGCCTTATAACAATGATAAATATCTGTATGAAATGGCACTAGCCGTATCTACATTTTATTCTTCCTTTATATAAGTTATAAACTGAAGTTCTCAAGTGTGATCGGCTTTAATAAATTTACCAGCTCATATGAAGCCAGGCATTTAGGTTGTTCCATGCGTAATTTATCCAACAGAATTCAAGAACATTACCTGGATTGGCTAGAAATAAACAGAAACGGTTCAGTAAGAAACTTAATAATCGAACACCTTGTGAACACAGGTCACCCGATCAAAGCGGACTATGGGTTCAAAGTCATCTACAAGGTAAGTAGAAGGCTGCCAAGGGCGGTTATATTTCATCTTCTTGACATTGATAAAGTAATAGCCATACATCCGGGTAAACCAGAATTATGTGTCCAAAAGAGATAGGTACAACCTCTTCTTCTATTATGGTCTTAATGTTTCATAATTTTCTTTCTTTTTTTTCTTCATACTTTTCCTCCATTGAAGTCATCCTCCCCTTCCATTTTCTCCATAGACCTTCTACCAAAAACTGATTTATTTATGTTTCTGTGACTCTCCTGATTAAATTTCATCTTAGTCTCAACATTTTATCTTATCGTGCTGAACCATGCTTCCCCAATTAGAGTTTCCCTGTTTATTTTCATGATGAATATTCAAGCTTTTAACAATAAAACTGTTATTAGTTTCCCTGAATAAATTTTTTTGTACCTTTGTTTATTCTACCTTGCTGTTAACAGAGGTTCATCATCACTATTACTGTAATTATCGTCATCCTGAGAAATAAGTATACATATTTGCGGTTGTACAGCTTTGAAAATGAATTCACCGAAAAGAAACTCTTCGCCGAACCAATCCTCCTTATTTAATAAGAAAATATCACACTACTATTTATTAATATAAGTAAGATCAAAGTTTGCTTCTAATGTTTTAGTTGAGGGTTTGAATTTTGTAACTAAGTTTGATGTGGATAATTGTGTTTTCTACTAATAGGGAGTTGAAGTATTCTTGCAAAGGCTTTCATTACTGAAGTGTTTTGTATATATTTTAGCGAAAAAGTCATGTGTCAACTTTTTGTTATTTGCCACTAAAAATATGACAAACAGAAGTACTACGTCAATTTTTAACATGGAAAATGTCATGAATAAAGATACATAGTTTGTTTGGCTTCCCTAGTTAATTTTATTGTAAAAAAGCGAATTCAACTCAACAAGATATTCAATTCCTTGTTTTTGGTTAAGAAAACGTTATTATTTTGTGTGTATGGGAATACTGATCAATCTTAAAGTAATTTCCACCGGAAGTCGGTATTGGCTGGGGAACCACAAAGTGTTGTATAAATATCTGTTTCATTTTAGTTGGAAGCACTCCGGGTATTTCCACTAAAGAGTTCATGCACAAGTGAATTTATCTGAAGAACTCCATCTAGGAACTAGCGGAGACTTGATTGTTGCTGACTTAGGTGAGATCTGATATCATCTAATGAACTAAGATCTTGTTCTCAGTTACACATGGGGTCTTGATTGTTCGGTCGTAATGGCTCCTAAACCAAAAAGAAATAGCTGGTCAGTGGTCCTATTTCCTCAATGCTTGGTCAATTGATGCTTATTGGTGGAGGGATTTACTTTCGAACTGAAAATTATCCAGTTGTGAAGGTCCTTTCCTTACTTTAATTCTTAACTCTAGCATTGTTTCTCTACTGTTTTTCCTTATTCATGAATAATATTAGATGGACATTAAGTCATCTTGACTAATCTTTGGTGTTATACTTTTTCAGTTTAATCATTTTCTTATTTTCTGTATCTCCATTTTTCCTACAGAGTTCCCACTGACTACTATTAGTTTATCATTCTCTAAAACGTCCCACCTGTTAGCTTAATTTAAACCTGTTTACTATTTCAGATGTCGGATAACAAAAGCATCAATTTTATGGAGCTATTTTAGTGAGACGTTTCTGTTGGAAGAAAGAAAAAAGGTAATGAAAGTCTACGACTCATAACAAAGCAAATGAATACCTTCCACATCAAGGATTGACTTTAACTGGACAATCACTAAGATCCAGGAAGGACAGGTATCTGTGCTGTCTTTATCATGGTACTCATCACTAGTGTGGGCCCTTGACCCAGGTGAGGGGTCAAAATCACAGTTCCCAGACCTTATAGAAAACAGATTAACTTTAGACCTCTGAGTTGACATGAAGTGGGTGGCCTACACTTTTGATTCTAATGACCTCATGATATTGGAAAATTCTAAATAGTAAAAATCTTTGAAATAACCTTTTCCAAAATTTCTTTAGGTATAGGATCATCAGGACAATCTTGTGGTACTCCTTCGTATTCTATATCACAGCGATCTCTATTTAAAGAGAAAACAAAAGCGAAAACAAGTCAGAAATATTTATGTTCATCATTATATGAACAAGAATTTATCAGTTAATCTAGTAGCTTCAAGACTGAGACTTGTTACTTAGAAATACTACGTTAACATTTTGAACCTCGTTCAGCATGATAAGCTTTCTACAGGTGAGTGATAATCAAGAATATTTCTCTATTGTTTTTTCATTGGTTAAGTGCAGAACTAAACAGATAATTAGTTCCCTGGATGCTGTATACTTTAGCTTTAATGGTATGTAACGGTTGTTGCTGTTTTCCAGGTTTATAAACTGATTTTATTCAGGATACTCGTTAAAAATTCATGGTATTCGGTATTATTTCGAGCATTCCTTATCCAATGCATTAGACTTCACCCGAAATTGTCTAAGTACATGCTATTCAACTTATAATTTTTTCATACTTTTATTTTTTTCCTCCAGACGTTGGTAAATATATTGAGTTTCAGGGGTTTGGGATTTATTTTCGGAAGGACCTAATCGTACACTTAAAATCTAATTACATAAACAGTTAACTTTCATTCAGTTACATAGCTTGATCGCATTTGCATTTTTCAACCCCTATAAATCGAAGTTAACGACGAAAATTTAGTTAGTGGTGAGTTTCGATCAGTTTCTGCACTTGAAAGTTCACACTTGGATATACAAGCCACGTAATTCTGCATACAAAATGAAATGAAATATATGGAACTATGAATATATATACATATAATCTGCATTAATACATTATACCTATGAGTTATTAAGATAAAAGTCTATGCTTTCATGTAGATTACTTTAAAGTTATCAATGACATGTAGTACAAATTATATGTATTGAACTACTACAATCATTTTTCTAAATATGTATGTGAAATATATACGAGTTAAGTATTCCAAACTATAATCTACATCCGGGATATTCTATTCCTCGACTAATGCAAAGATAAATCAGATTATTAAGATATTTAGCTCTTTATAATATTACTTACACTATTAGTTGGTTGTGAACAGATATATATGGAACATGTCTTCCAAGAAGTGTTGATAAACAACGTAGAAAGCCGACATAAGGAGATTTTACTTGAATAAGTGATATATTTAGTAAAAGATCTGAGCAATTGACTGTTTCTTCCATTGACAATGTTTTGTAATTTTGAGAGTTGATATAGGTTTCTATATTTTGTGAATCAGTCTTGGGATACGTTTCGTTGATTCTTGATTGAATAACTTTCTTTGTGAATATACTGAATATGAAATCATGCAATTCTTCATAATGCTGAAGTAAAAAAACAAGAAACAAGAAAATGAAATTTTTAAGACAAATGTAATGAAAGGTTAGCGAAGAACTAGATGAAGAAACAATTAATATAAGATCAAAATGGAATTATTTTTCCAGGTTTCTTAGGAATTATTCCAATACTTCTTGCTTAGGGTCGTATGCCGTTTTTCATTGATGCAGTGATTTTAAAAAAAACCAGTGTGAAAGGCTGTTGAAAAATTTTCTAAACAGATTTCAGGTTTCATTTTAAACGTATATGACTCTTTCAGTGATCAGTAAGACATGTGTATAGTCATATCTCTTCGCTTTATGTAAAATAGGGTTCCCCTGTAAAATGAGATTTATTTTGACTGTACAAGATGATAAGTATAATAATTTTTTATTCATACGCAACAGTTTTTAAGATTAGAATCACATCGCCAATTACTTATAAATTTAACATGTTATGTGGGTATCCATATATCATAACTAATGCTTCAGTCGATATTTTTCAACGTTACCGAAAGAAGATCTAGAAATAATTGACAAATTTCATAGTTAACCCCATTTCAAACCTCTCAGATATTGCTTCACCTAGTGGCCTCAAAATCGTTTATTATATACATTCATCAAGTATATCGTATTAATTGTAAATAGTTACCTTTACTCCAGCTGGAAACCACTTAAATGAAGCGAATTGAAATTGAGCTCGAGTAACTTTTACATTGAGTAAATTTTCGTGTTTGGCTGATTGATCTAATTCCATGAGTCTTTGTGATAATTCCACTAGACTTGATTGCGTAATTACAGTGGAATGATGATATGTAATAGCTGGCTGACAAGCCGCTAATAAAAATTGACGCCAATCAATGTAATAAACTTGTTTTTCATGTATATTATTTACTTTAATCAAATCGTTATAATCAGTAATAGTTGAACTTTTCACAGAATTTGTTTCAAATAATAAACGATACTTATAAACAAAACATGTTAACAATTCATTTAATGTGTCGGTAGAACATGAGCTAGTTAGTTCAGTAAAGCGTTCTGTAAGTGTTGGTTTCAATATACTTTTAAAATTAACAACGTCAATAAATCCTGTTTGGCTAAGAGTTGAAAACTAAAACAGGGAATATAGAAGCAGAAAATTAAGAATATCACATGTTTAGATAGTAAAGCAATTAGTAAAATTTATTAAAATATCATGATCATTATCGTTTAGATTAACTTAATAATTACTTGTTTTATTCACTCGGTATTCGACATTTGAAAAAAGGATGAATGTTAGCCGGTATTATACTTTTAATTGAAGGGGATAGATAAAAAAAGACACTTCAGAGATGAAACATATCCATCAAAGATTTATACAAAAGTAATGATAAAGAAGTGAATTATTATCTATTCCAACCTTTTGCTGCTGATAAAATGGGTTGAAACAGATAAACTGTCTGTTTACAAATTTCGTTTATATGAAAGTCATGGAATACAATGGCAACAATAACGACAGCTCACACTATTACTGTTACGCATAATAGTATGAAAACTCACAATAATACAGTCTTTACAATACCATCATTTCTCCTCTCATTACTACTATTAGTACCAATTTTACTACTAATACGTATAAACGGTTACTACTCATCCGATCATTAATAATCTGATGCATCCCATCTCAGTTCAGTGCCGTCGAGTTCAAAAACCTAGATTTATTTTTCAAAAGGTTGAGGTTATACACTGGACCATTCAGACAGGCCAAATGATAAGTGAAATATATTGACATGGGCCCTCTGTTGGTCAAGATTTAGATTCAATTTCTCATGAAATAGACAGTCAGTCAAATATATGAAATGCAAGACTTAACAAATGTAGATCAGTACAAGCTGCCATATTATTATCAAGATAAACAACAGTGCTAGTGGTAGTAGAAGGGATTAAGTGAAGAAAAAAAAGAAAAAAGAGTAAAATGTCATCAGTAGATTTCGGGATTTAGGAACTAAAGGGGGGGTAAGGCCTAGATGTATCTGGGACATTGTATCCAATTCTGAACTCTAAAAGTCAATGAATCATGGATTGATGCCATATCTTTTTTGGTCGCTCCTAGTTTTATTTCAACTTCTACGCCAGCAGACATCATGCATCAGGGTAGGAGGTGGCTGAGAATATATAACATATATCACAACCACCTCAGTTTATGACTATTCAATACTTTATCAACCAACTCTATTTTTACTTGGTACTCAATGCCCAAACTCATCATTTTACCATCGGTGGACATATGTTTAGTTAGAAGCACTATATTCTGTGGGACATATATTTATGAATGAGTCGTGCATATATTTTTAATTGTGTTATTTAACAAAAGTTTCCTACTCACCCATAGTTTTCTCACTCAAATAGCTGGTTTAAGCAAGAACATAATCAAAAGATGATGTTTCTAACATCAGATTAGTCAATTTCATTCGAAAATTCTGCGTGAATATTCTATATTCTAACAAAAACATGCGATTTAATAACTGAAAAAAATGTTACGACTCACTTTATCATATAGATATTTTAACTGACTAAGATTAAAATATTGGGGTTCGGATTCCGTTGGTTTATTTATAACTGGTGAATTAATTCGAAGTTTTTCCATCAATAATGAATCATTAGAAATAGGTGAAGTAGTACCACTCTGTAAGTGAATAAATTATTATATATAATGGTGTAAACTTGTGGAGCTATGTATATTTATTCATAAACAGTATTTGTAAACAAAAACAAAATTAATTTGTCTCAAAAACCGGATTCGAACTTAGTACAGTAGTGTATTCAATAAATAAAGTGAACTTGATTTTGTTTATACTCCTATAAGGATAGTTTAAAAGCCAGATATAAATTATTTCGATAGTGTAAAGTTATCCGAGCTCGTTTATTTAGTCTTATTATCTTGATTGCCATTTTAGATAACATTTATAGTGTCTGTCTCAAGATTAAAAGTTTCAAGAAACAATCCTGGCATCTTCATTTAGTAACTTACATATTACCTTAATGTTACTAACGCGGTTGTTCCACATACATGAAAAATATCAATAAATTTAAGTCAACTTACCAATTTGTTGTTCTGGTTTTAGCTGGAAATCAAAGTTTACGTATTGGTCATTCATCGACAAAACTAACAAATAAACATTAATTTTCTTTTAACCTTAGAAAATTAAGACAAGATACTCAAAATCGTTTTGCAGGATATTTCTAGTCAAATATACGATTTAAACTGGATTGAAATAATCTCTTTATGATCAAATGATATCATTGAACGAGTTTGGATATATTTCTAATTAAAGTAAAAACAGAGTCTATTGTAACGAAAAGAAAGCAAAATAGAATGCTCACTTCATCAATGTAGAATTGTTCACCGTCTAATATCATTTTTTCTGGAAGTTTCTGTTCTTTTTCAATCATATATCGAATAACTTCAAGTGCGTTATTCACACTGAAATGTATTACATAGTAAATAGTAAGATCAAATTCTAAAGGAAATTTTAACATGGTAGTTCATGGAGATTAACTAATTTGTAATTAACATTATGGGTTGACTTTAGCGAGACAACCATTAATTACTGGAGAGAACTAAATATCTTTTTCGCTCTAATATGAGACATTTGAGCAGTGGTCATTCAGGCCTCTTTCTGAAATTGGAACTTTGAAGCAAACACGTTACCTTTAGGCCATTGAGCTGGGATGCTGCAATCCCACTTCATAATTTAGTCAGTTAGCGGTGTTGCACAACCGTCACGCATTGTTGTTGGAGACATTTGCTTAACACTTAGCACTAGTTAACTATATCGGTCAGAAATTTTAAGGGAAACGTTCGGGGGTAATATATTTATAATAGGTAATAATATTCAGTGTAGTGTATACAGCGAAAATTCTCGGGTCTCTTCAAAACGTATCGACACAAGAAAGGAAAGCACCGTAGATGCATGTGAGGGCATTGTAATTTGAGTAAAGCGCTCCTTTTTGTGCAAGTTAGTTGTCATTTGGTATAAGTTCCACAATATTTCAATACATCATTTGTGTATAGAAGCTAACCAAGCATATAATAATAAGTTATGTGTTTCATAATAAGATTTTATTACGTCTGTTTCATGATGAATCTTAGCTTTAGCAGTATTTAAAGTGATAATCACTCAAGTTAAAATCAAAGATACGGCATCAGAATAAGTATAATGGTATCGGAATATATCCTAATCACCTTTTCAAATTGGTGCTAATCTGACAGCTTGTCATACAGAACAAACTGTTAGCCATATGTGGGGAGATTCGAATACTTCACTTTTGCCTGAAGTATGTGCTGATGATATCGTTCAGAAGAACGATGAAAGCTCCACGACCAAACCATCCAGCTCATAGAACGAAACTCAATCTAAATCATCTACCTGAGCTACAAATATTCTCCACTATCTCAAAACCTGATAGTTTAATGACATCGCTTACATTGAGGTGAATACCGCCATCGTGTAATGCTCATCCGATGCTATGCTCATATTGTATTCACGAAATAAACAGAAGGGATGTAGATAACATTTGATGACTGAATCGCTGAGTCAGTAACCAGGAAGCAACCGATTTAAAGTCAGCTATAACCTAGGCTTTCTTTCAACTTAATCACCTCCACAAGTTCTTGTGTGTCCAATGGTCTGTTTAAAGTTTTATTTTATGAGTAACGTCTTGATATAAGAAAATGTTGGTTGCAAAACAATACTGTGTTGAACTTACGCATCATGTTCTTTAAGTGTTTTAATTCCAATACAGTCTGTCATAAATTGCCTTAACTGGGAAAACTTTTCCTGTAAATCTGATAGGACGGCTGATCCTTGAGCCCTTATTATTGTTAAGCGAAAGGCAGTTTTAGCGGCTATTTGAAATTACAAGATCAAAAGAGATTAAAAAGAAATAGCGATAATTTCTACAAAGTATTTGATCATGAGATACCGCTATCCACCTAGAAACCAAAAGTTTGGGTTTTGCTAGCCAGAAAGTCAGAAAACGATATCAATTATTGAAATAATTGTATACTGATCTAGACCACTTTGGCGGATATAGGTTTCCTATCTGGGGCTCGTACAAATTTTGCAACCAGTATTGGGTTTCATGGCATAAAATTAGTTGCTGTTCCATTCATTCTCTTCTTTTCAAAACCAGAAGTTGGTTTTCATCTCCAACTTTTCATCATTTGATCTTATTTGCTCCTTTTAATCCTATCTCTATTTAGATTTTCGTTGAAGTTACAATTGTTTCTATCATACGATAGGTCTTTTTAATTTCTTTACTATCCGTGCTTATGTGAAGGGTGAAAAAGCGGACTGACACACGTTCGTGCCAGATCCTACAATGTTGATGAGTGACTTGCTGGCCTGGAGCAACAGAGAATCACGGATCCTAGATAATTTTACCAACCATTCGCATTCATAATTAAAAGTTTAACACATTGGCATACAATATGGACGTTTTAGTAGCAAGTTTCAGACGAAGATGCAGATTAACTTGAAAAAAATGGGAATAGTAAAGTGTTTATTTCTCACTGATATTTTACGAAATTGATTTGATTGATCTATGTAGTGATATTGTAAAATGTTTCAAAACGTTTTGGATACTGACTCAGTGCTCTAAAGGTTATGGGTTCGTGATTTAAACCGATGGACGTGAGTCTGATTTCCGGATCCGAGGTCGTGGTTGGACGCTTCTGTGGAGCCCCATGATAGAACGAAACAGCAATTCAGTCCTGTCAGGTTTTAAATGGTGGTCTAAATAAAATACGTTCGTGATATAAAATCTATGAGGATTGTAGTAATGTTGAGAATAAGAATTTTCTCGTACTCAAGGTTTACACTAAGATATCTCCAAGAAGTGATTTTTGTTGAGCTCACTGATGTCTGGTTTCGATCTAAAAGTTAATAATGTGGTTGATATGCTAGAGTAACGATGTTGGTTAGTCGAAGGGAATTTAAATGATGTTTCGTCTGGTTAATGTATCAACAATATGATGTTGATTTTCCATTCAGTGTTAAACCTCTCATCCACCGCACAACAACGGTTGTCATGTTTAGTCAGTAAATGGAATAAGTGAGTAAATTTAGCTTGATGGGTAATTATCACTCGGTTATATCAAACTTTTTCACAAACAGTATCAATCAACTTTTTTTAGTATTTTGACTAATCAACACTGTGATCATAGCACAATTATGACATACAAATTATAGTAAACCAACATATATGGGTTTTGGTCTATAAATTTCTTTGATGACATATTCACCTTCTTTTTCTAGCGCAGCTATATGTTCTTCTCTAATATGTTGCCTAACTTCTCTAGCCTTTTGATCTTCTTCAGTTAGTTCTACTAAATGAAAAGAAAAAAAATCAAAGAAAACTGCACTTAGTAAACCTGAACATTCATTTGAAAAACACGATTAATTTGATTGATCTATAATATGTAGATAAATTCTTAAATATTAGTGTAATGAATTTTATAAATGGGATTGGGGAATGTGACTCTATATAATTATAATTAAAAACCATTTAATTAGATTATAGGGCATTAAAATTCTTGATTTTTTCTCTCATTTAATACATTAAATACAAATAGTCAATCAAGAAAAGAATAGTACCTTTACATTATCCAGAAAACACTCTTTATAGATTGGTAAGTTGAGATCTAAGTAGATTCACTACATGATGATATGTACAGTCAGTCAGTCAGTCAGTCAGTCAGTCAGTCAGTCAGTCAGTCAGTCAGTCAGTCAGTCAGTCAGTCAGTCAGTCAGTCAGTCAGTCAGTCAGTCAGTCAGTCAGTCAGTCAGTCAGTCAGTCAGTCAGTCAGTCAGTCAGTCAGTCGGTCAGTCAGTCGGTCAGTCAGTCAGTCAGTCAGCCAGTCAGTCAGTCAGTCAGTCAGTCAGCTACAACGTAGGACCAGGCACATGTGTGCATCGATCCAGGTTGCCATACCGCATCAGCACAACAAGATGAACACCGGATTCATAACAGTGGTTAGGTAAAAGGTGGTAATATAAGAGAAGGATTGCATATAGAGATATAGTACAAGAAGAAAGAGATGATGTGTACAATCTGTAACAGTCTAGGTTGATAGTAATTTTATACATCAACAGTACTTATATTAAACAATTTTAGATAAAATTAGAAGTTAGTAAGATAGTTTAGCTGGTGATAACAGTTCATGATACAAACTAACTTCAAATCGAAAAAAAATCGACTTAACTAACCAGTTAATTAGTAAGTCTGTAACTAGCTTCAAAATTATTTTCAAGTTCTAACGTGAGCCCGTGACATATAAAGTCGGTTAGGTAGGGTTTCCACTAGTTACTCAACCTAACCTTAAACCCAAAACTGTGTTAAAATTGGTTCTCCCCAACAGGAATCCCTATTAATGCATGCCCAGTCAAAAAGGGGAGATGTAAGGAAGAAGTAAAAAATATATATCTACTGATCTTTCGAATTGTATACATGCATTAAATCAATGATTAATCAATGCTAACTGCTTCCCGATTCAATGTATTCAAATTTAACTATTGGCTAAAACTAGTAAATTCTGCAAAATCCAGTGTGTTTTTGATGAGATTTTGATCAGTTGTGAATCTACTGTTAGCGAATATGAAAATCTTCATCTACAGTCTTCCTTGTGTCGATGCCTATCAGTCTTTGTTCACTTATCATTAGTAGGAAATAGCAGTTGATACTCAGTCATAATAAATAGTCACACCAGTGTTTGTTAAATTGAAATAAGTTAGAAATGTAGTTAACTGGATACCAACTCAGTGGATCGATGATATTATATATTCAAGGCACCAGTGAATACCAGTTTTAATTTCAAATAGAGCTCTGGGTGTCCACTGCTGAGGAGTTGTAAACAATCGTGCATTACTTTCGAGCATTTAATAGCAAAGAGAAATCATTTTTGTTGGAGCATTGGTTTGTTTAGTCAACCATTTGGGTTTATACTATGGTGTTTAAATATTCAAGTTAATCAGAAGCATTTTGTAAAGTATTTTCACACTAAAGTGTATGTAATGCAGTTTGGTAGCTACATATGATCAAAAAAATGCTGCAAATTTTAAATCAATAAACGACCTGGAGTAGTTGCTTGTTCATCAGGTTTAGATCCCTTTTCCTTAGGTACCAACGATTTTCTTTGTCCTTTACGAGGTTGCCCACCTTTATTTTTATCTGCTGAACTTAATTTGCCACCTTTTGTATCTGTAGGCTTAAGCAGTAATTCCACTGTATAACCATCCAACATAGCTTCACTCGCTCTAGACTTCCGTTCTGTTTGTACCTTGAACAGTAAAAGAATACATGTTAGGTGAAAATATAATATAATATATTTAATACTTTTTTCGTGTGTGGTTCTAAAACTTACTAAGATAGCTTAGTTACTTACAAAATAATCAGTAAGAAAACAGATAAAATGAAATGGCTTTCAAGACTCATGTTTAAAAACATTTAAGAAATTTTATGAATCGCTTTAGCTTCATATTGATGCAATAAATTGTTACACAATTTTGAAAAGGATATGACTTAAAGATTGAAATATCTTCATATTAGTATTCCACATGAGAATATTCATTGTTGGATGTACTACAACATTGTTAAGAAAGCTAAATAAAGTTTAGGTGTTATCAGAGATTTTTTCTAATTGTCTTCCAAGTTATTGAAATCAGTTTATCAACTTCAATTTGTCAACCAATAGGTATAAGGCTTTTATACTTTATACTTCAAGTTGTTGAATACATCCTATAATATTTTGCATTTGGTTGAGAATAAAGAGAAATTGTGATTCGCAAATAATGAAATGTTTAGACGGTTTGTAACCCGTAACCATTCAGGTAGATAATATGAAATGGAGAAGAATAAGAACATTGCAAAACTGCTCAGTTCATACAGGAGAGCAAAAGTAGTCATAATAATGACTGAATTATTGACAATGATTACGATGGCGGTTGAGTGGTTTAATTTCGATGATAACTAGCTCCAGTTAAGTTTACAACTAAAGATCTACAAACTTGTGACATTTACGTGCCAAACGTCAAGATTTTTTAAGTAAATTTTCTGTTTACAACAACTGAATCAAACGATTCGACTGTTTTTAGATTTTCTCGCTCTTTGGAGCGATAGTGAAAACCATGAGTCTTCTTTTTTAGAATCTTTAAAAAGGTTATCATTCATAAGTTCTGGGCTTGAAGTAAACCTTCATAAGACGTAAGTGAAAACTATGTCACTAGCATTTTACTGAATGTTTTGCTTGTTTTCATCAGTGTTTAGTATCAAATATCTTTTTAGATAAAACTCAAGAAAATTATAAGATTAGTATCGGGCTGCTAGATAAATAAATCTTAAAGGGCTGTAAATTTACTAAATAAATCCCCATAAGTTAATGTAATAATTTGAACATCACAAGTTCAACTTTTTGTCGGATCGGAGGTCTTTACCGCTGAAGGGTTGGAAATTAGGATGATTTGGATTTCTCCGATCCCAAGCTTTCATTGATTCTTCGGTGACGTCAATTAATAGTAAAAGTTATCTCCAAAATAAACAGAAACCTTCATAAACCAGGTGATTTAACACTACGGTGGTTTGCAGGTTGTATATTTTACGGACCGTTCCAACTTAGGGTATTGTTATGAGCCAACGAGTAATAGATAGATGTTTCGTTCTAGTACGGGACTTCTTATCACCCTGCCACTGGGCCGAACTACGACCCTCAGGTTTCACGGTGAGCACTTAGGTCGGTATCCAGAAGTAAAATTACAAGTTCAACCAACTTGTGATCCACCCCGAGATCTGGAGGTCCCGGGTGCGATCTCTGGTGTAGTAGCAGATGCACACTGGGGTGTGTGAAATCAGAACGAAGCGGCTGTCCAGTAATCCATAGTTTCTAATAGCATATCAACTAAGATCGATCTAAGACAAACATAATCTGCAAATTAAACCAAATTCAGAAAAACGTCTACGTTGGGATTGTTGTCAATCACAATCGATTCACTTGTTAAAATTTTATGCATAATTACTTCATAGGTTACCGTTTCGGAACACTCAACAAATTAATAATGATGTTATTGTGTAAAAAAAAAATTTAGTGAAATATATATCTTTTGCACGTCTAAATATAATATCTCATTTTGAAATGTATTTCACATAAATCATTATTCATATCCTTCTTACATATCTAATAAGTAGCATTGATTTATATTGTTTGATCAGTTTAAATTACAAGGACGTGCATATTTTAAAAATCGTATCTTCATTATGACCTTTCATTAACCTGATAATTACTCATAAGAACTTATGGTTAATTAAGAAAATATTTGTTCAGCCAACCTGATTCAAAATAGTTTGCATAACACCTAAAAAAACATTATATAAGAATTGAATTGATGGATCTGTTGATGGAGTCGGTTTGTCTAGAAGAAGATTGATTGGATTTGTCATGGTCACTTTTTCTTGAATTGAATTTGCTTTAACAGCACCAGATTTGGCTCCTTTTTGATTTGGTGGATTGGTTGAAATAGTCTGACTAATCAAAGGTAAGCCATCTGTACTAAGGAGAGAAGAATAAAATAATACAAAACTGGAAGAAATGACTGTCCAATGTCCCCCAATTTTCAAAAGTTTCTCAGCTAACGTCAGTCCATGGTGAATACCATCTTTAAAAATTAATCTGACTCCCTATCGAACTACACTATCTTTAGAAGTTTTATTTTATATTTGTGTGGCAATGTAGGGTGAACTATCGCACACTGTACTTACGTTAAAACAGTAGACTGTAGCGAATGACTCGCACATAAAATTTTAATACTAAAACGTGATATTTGTTTGAAAATGGCCAAAGATTCCAGAAAACAATGTCAACATTAGACATTTAAAAACACTATCTCATCAGCTGTCTACACGTTAATTACGCGGTCAACATAACAGTTAAAGGGAAGTTATATTTTTTAAATGGATGAATAAGAAAAGAATTAAAGCATATTTTGTAGACGAGAAAAGATATCATGGATTCGTCAAGAGGGAAACGGAAATTAAGAGCTGTTTCGAAAAGAGGCCAACAGCTCATAGTAGACAGTTTCAAGGCCTACGATACTAAAGGGGAAGCAAACAATTAGAAGGTAAAGAAATATCACTATGAGCACAAAAATGGTTACGAACATTAAGGTAGAAGTATGTAAGGAAAAGTGGTTTATTGAAATCAAAAAATGTCATGAGTTACATGAAAGAAATAAAATGTTTGAAATAATGAACTACTGAGTATTGGTAAGTCGTTCACAGTTTCATACAAGATCTAAACAAATAAAAGCTGAGGCTAAAACGTAAAAATCAGATTTAACAGGTAGCTTGAAGCGACAAATGTGTGAGCCTGTTTTGTCTATGATGAGTTATTATGAACCGGTATGAATGAAGTGATCTATACACTGAGCTAGTTCATTTCTGATTGACAGATAGAATATTCACACAAGCAGCTCCTAAACAGTGTTTATATTCGGAGGAAGAGAAATTCATCTTAAGCATTAATGTGTGTACCATCATGACGTTCAGAAGACTATTCATTTTGTCTGTGACTGCAAAAAAATTATTATTTACAAAAACATAATTTTGTACATGGTATTTTAACGAAGTTGAAATTAAGAAACAGCTGTTTTGTCTGGGATGACTTACGTCTATTTCGAATTCTGAACTATTAGAAGATGCCTTATAACACAAGATGGGTCTACAGACTCTATTTCTCACAGTACTTCAATAAAAATGATACACATTTGATTGAATAGAGAGTATAGGAGTTCAGTACATAGGAGAACTACGACTTTGGGACAATAAAATTAGTAACTTAAGAGCTGAAACAAACAATCAGATAATAGCTGAGGTCATATGAGTTAAAACGTTACCGAGGGCTTTCTTGATCATCATAACAATAATCTATTAAAAATGTAAGAACTAAATGATTTGAGGCTTTCTTAACAAATTTACACTGACTGGTACAATGGCATTGGCGAGTATGTTGATACTGAGCCAATGAATCGAGATAAATTGGTCGACATGTCTAACTTAATTCAATTCGGTATTCAGAGTAATCCGTATTAAACTATACCAGTCAGTTATTGTTTAGTTCCACAGGTCACCGCTTATTACAGTATTCTCTTAAATACGGCTCAAAGTTATTTACAAGTGAGAATATGATTATTATTTAGGCAAACAGTTTTTTGTAGGGTTTTCCAGTTCGAAGATAGTTCTCATTATTGATATCAGCTGAGAAGTCCCAAAGTACGACGATACAGATTCCCAGTAACTTCATGTATATAAGGCATTGAGCAGTCTAATTATTTTAAAATTAACAACAAACAGGTTGTATACTGACTTTTACTAAATGCTGCAAATATTTCTTGTAATGATGAATTCTGATTCAATAAATTAATTTGACTACGAAATTCACTCGGTAAAATTTCAAATTTCGTATCAATTGGCGTTGAATATTTTGACAAAACAGCGTTGCCTGAATCTGCTAATTTTGATTTATTCAATTTATTTGAACTAGACCTTGAAGAATTTTGTCTTGTTGATGTACTTTTACGCGATCCAGAACTATCATCATTTTCTACAATTTCATCAGGAAGCTAAAAAATCAATGGAATTTTCAATGTAATACATAAAACTGATAATGTATGAAGAAGTTATTGTTATTTTCCAAGGAAAGGAAAATACTGAAGAGTTCAATAACAAAACAAAACTTGTAGAAAAAGTTTTGAAACAGCGAATTAAGAAGAAATTACAACACATGCTCACTAGTGACTAGTTTCAAGAGGTATTTCATGGAGTTCTAGTGAGAAGCAGTGACTATTGGATTTCAACTGGGTCTGTTGTGAGATAATAATTCACTGAAGTCAATGGTGACTGTGTTGCTTGATTTCGTGGACTAGTTGAATTTAGATATCAACACCGCTTGATGCCAGCTCAATAGTCTAGAGGTTAGGCGCTCGCGCGCGAGACTGATGGGTCCTGGGTTCGAATCCCACGAGGCGGAATCGTGGATGCGCACTACTGAGGAGTCACGTAACAAGACGAAACGGCCATCCAGTGCTTCCAGGTTTTCCATGATGGTCTAGCTTCAATTGACTCATGATCTCAACTGATAGAAATTAAGTGCTTTTACTTTCTGTTTTATAATTTTTTTGTATGAGTCATATGAAACGTTAAAATTTCCTGAATTTGATGTTGAATGAAGTTTTTCGAGCTTTGATAAGAGTATTCTAGGTGTTGATTTATCGAATAAAAAGCTCATTATTCGATATTTGCCAACATCAGTTCGATAACAGTTACTTATAATACCACCCACTAATTCTTTCATATTATTTACTAGCCATTTAATGATTTTAGTTTTTTAACTGTAACATTAATGAAACTTTACCTACGCTTGTGAAGCGACCAATAATTTAAATAAAGAACTTTGTTATTCCCGACCTTCAGGAAATAGTTAATCTTTCAAAAGTATTAACAAAAAAAGTAAGAGTATCTCTTCTAATTTTGAAAGGAATCATGAAGTTGTATGACATATAAACCTCTACCAGTATGTTTGTTGATGAAAAGTATGTGAATCAGTGTAAACTGGCGATAAGTTATACTTTTATATAATAAACGTTTATGGTTTATAGTTGTCTTGCTGGACGTGAAGTTTGGTGGCTCAGAGTTCGATCTTGCATAGGATCGCAGGTTCCAGTCTAAAACTAAAATAGTACATACACTCAATACCTCCTGAATTTTGCAGATATTTCTACTGAAGTTGATTCTCTGTTAAAATAGCTTATTTTTAAAACATCACTTGACAACAGTCATTGACAGATCATTTTCTAGCAATCATTTTAACAAAGAATGGGATGATATATATATATATATATATATATATATATATATATATATATATATATATATATATATATATATATATATATATATATATATATATATATATATATATACGAAAACTCACTTTAATTAATGGTATTCGTGTATATTCAATGTGACTTGCGTCGATTGTTCCCGCTAAAGCTTGAATTGATTCATTTTCAATTGTTTGAGGTCTAGCTTCCATAACGCTGAAATTGATATGTAACAGAGTTGTTATTAACTGTGAATTATAAGATACTGGGTTAATTTTCACTAACTAAACGAACTTTGAGCTCGTTTACTCGGATTATTTACAAATTATATATCTGAAACATTTAAGTGTAAACCAACAATCGTATTTGTGTTACTATTTTTACTCTTATCATGTATCTATGACATAAAAAGGAGGGTTGTGATGGTTAATACCTTTAAAAAGTAATAATTCATTTTTTGCCATTGTGAAGTTCAAATACGATGGAACTACCAGACCTTATCCTGTGAAATAATGTTCCTTTTTATTAATGGAAATGTAAATTTATGGCCATGAGGTTGTAAAAGTATGTTCTTAAGTCGGGCTCACAAAACTGCTTTCAGTTCCATAAAGTAATTTGATAATTACGAATCTCATTAATAAAATATAACACAAATTCACTTTCCGTTTAATATAGTGTTTCAAGGAATCTAAAAGCGATACCTTTTTCACTAATGTTAATACTCATACGATCTGGCAATTGATATAATTTTACCTTTGGAAATTGTATCTATTTCATTTTGGAGTGTCATTACGATCTACTGGGTCACCAAGTTATACGAAATCGCATTTACACTGATTATAAAAATCATATATTTTGCCGTCTGACAATCAGGTTTCAGACGTTGTGGAGATAATCTAAATGAAATTTAGTTGAATAAAATTAAGGCAATTTTGGAATCATGTAAGTTGAAGAATTATTGATCTTAGTAGTTATTTAATACTAGTTTGGTATTTTACAAAAGGGTTCTCAATGACAATTTATTGCAAATGGATAAAGACTTATGAATAGGGTTACGTTTGGGAACCAAATTCTAATGAAAACAACTCCAAGAATTACTTACAGAGATCATATTTTCTTAGCCACTTGAATCTTGTAAAAATATTAAAAAAACATAACTGAAGCCTTACCTAAATGTTAGTTCTTGTACTAAATGTAAGGTTAGTCAAACAGTTGTGACGTGGGTAGGGATTCTAGTTAGTCTTTAAATAGGTGTTACAATAAGTAGGAAGTTGAAAAGGGCACTGATTAACTAAGCTGTTTTGAGGAAGCTTATCCAAGGATTTGAGAAATAATTACTACCATCTCTTAATAAGTTTAGAAGGTCTTGTTTGCAGTCGTCAAATAATACTACTTCTCGGGATCAACAATGTCAGTATTTACCCGACAGAGAGGGATATTATGTAACAGTACATTTTATTTTACTAAGTTCGTAAACGAAAGACGAATTGAGTTTTTAAAGTATCGTTAATATCTAATCAATGTTAATTGTTGAAAAGTACGGGGGTTAGATATGTCAACATAGCTAAAAATAATGAAACCGTTGTACTTTGTTACATTTTCCTCATTCATATATATGTTAATGGGTTTAGTTAATTTCAATTGTCTACAAAAATACACTGAATATGAAACTTCTAGAAAACTAAACTGCAGAAATTAATCAAACTAATTTATTCAAGAACTTACTTATAATAATCCTTTATTAATTGTGCATTCTCTTGAAAACGTGTTAATTCAATTTGAAATAATGATAAATATAAATTAATCAACAATCTTTGATGATCTGTAAACCAACCAGGTATATCAAGTAAAATTTTCAAACGATCTTCGTTAGCTTGTTTTGTTTCATCAATGATTTCATATAGAGTATCACGCAGATCATCTGTTCGACAATGTAAATCAGCTTTGGCCTCTTTATCTGAACGCATTTCATTCATCAGAGAATTAAATGTCTATTGAAAATTGAGATGAAAAATGTATATATTTATGTATTACTCGTTATATCGAGCGATTTGAAAAGAGCAAGGAGTTAAAAGGATAAGCTGACCCTCCCAACAGAAAGCCTCACTCAAGCGGATTCAATTAAAAGATTGACGTGTTAACAAGGAATAATATACATAACTCAGTAATTTAATTGTATGTTATTCAAAGCCCCTTTATAAATTGTTTACACATTAAATTACTAAATAATTACTAGTTCAAGGCATTCAAATTTGTTTATTGACCGAACATTTAAAATGATATATTTCACTATTATTTTGAATGTCATTTAAATCACTTATTTCCTCACAAGTAAATCTTCACTTAACTGTCATGCTCCCCTCATTTCATCGAACTAGTTTGGTCTTATTCTGTCGAAAAGTGGCAGAAAGCAGTTATTTTCCAGCCATAAACAATATCCATACCAATAGCAGTAATCAACATTATTGGTATGATACAACAAAAGTGAATTTATTTTTAAGTTTTCCTATTAGCAAGTCATGAAGTGTCGTTGTTGCATCATTTATTGCTGAAGATTCTCATCACTCATAGGTGCAAGGGAATCATATCAGCTTACTCAGTTGTTGGCTAATGTTTCCTTTTGTTGTCATTTGTTTAAAATTTTGACATTCAGGCCTTATGTCCACCTTAGCTAAAAACAACATACCACCAGAGTAGATACAAATCTACGAGATACTGAACGTTACATCTGGTTACCTAATTTATAAAAAAGTGTTTCAGTTTGTTAGTCTTCCGATTCTTATTGGTTTCAGGCATTTTATTCATATTTCATGACATGAAGATGGTTTATCTACAAAGTATTTTGAAAAATACTTCTGAGCATAACTTAGCCTTAGTATTTAAGAATCATTTTGATTTTCTGACAGTGGCTAAGTGGCTAAGTTCATAGTATAACCCAAAATTTTTTGACCAAATTAGCGATGGCAGGAGGTAGTACATTTTTGATAGTTCATTCTAATATGTGAATTTTTACCCAGACAGTCAACTTAACTTTTTAAAATACGCGTTTCATAACTTAAAATCTCATCAAAAGTTGACCATATTATCTACTCATTGTGATCAATAGACAGAAAATCAGGTAGTTTATATCACAAACCGACGTCATGTGACACATTTTTAAAGATTCAAACTTATATTATTCCTTACTCAGTCGGTCTACAGAAGCTGTCACACTTTCTCGAAAAACAATATTCTATCTTAACGTTCAAAAATCACATATATTTTTGTGGGTGAATTCTCTTCTCGGTCATTAATGCCAAATGGCTAAAATAAAATAATTTCCAATGAATGGTAATCCTATTACAAATGGAATAATACAAAGTAGTGTTTATGGCCTTAAGATGCTGGCAGCCTATTCAAATGATATCTGTAATTGCTTCAGTAAGAGCACACTCTTTCTGTATGTAAGTGACCTCAAGGAAGTGAGTTCAGTTTCTGCCCACATATTTATCCATATTTAAAATGATTTCAGAAATGAGCTCAGAAAGGTCGCCTTATGGTATTTAAAATGGAATTCGGTAATGAGAACTGATAAGCGTAGTTGAATCTGCATTGAAGACACTTAACTTTAAATTCATCACAAAAGACATAGAGCCACATGGGTTTCGTTAATTGGTAGACTTGAAACTCAGAAATTCCCATAATTTTTGTTCTTCAGACCAAGTCACAATACAGATATCTTAGTCATCACAAATTCTGGGCAGTCTATTGCGTAACTGTCACAACAATGGATCACGTATTTTATTGTGCAAAGTTAAAAAACTGGAACTTTGCTCTGGGTAGTGTTCACATTAAAGTTAAACTTAGATTACAATCTGTTTAGCACGTTGTAATGTTAGGGACGATTATATATTAGACTGTAATTCTAGATACATTTAGCTAAAACTCGATCCTCTATGGAAGTAGTAGCTTAAAATTCATCGAATACATTTCAAATTTGTAAGTAAAATTTCGAGAATCTAGAACAATCTGTCACATTGTCTCGGCGAAAGACGTTCATTACCATCGTTTATATGGCAGATCGAAAGTTTTTCGCTTCTGATTCGGCTCTATTAGTGCATAAATGAACAATTATATCACAACCTACGAATGAAATTTTCGAGACTGTTATTCATGAACATACCCATAAAACTTTCCTTCAGACTGATGTATTATGCCCTTCTCCAACCACAAGGTTAGATTATGAAGAGATGGGCGTTATACTTTAATAATCTCATACCTTACCCTACTTTCATCATTTACTTCTTTCCTGTAAAGATTTGTTTAGAACAATTGATTAGTTTGAAAATCTACGTGAATACAGGTTGGAAAACGAAAAAATTATTCACTGGTTGATAATCATGGTAAAATCTTGCATCTGATACGAGCTTAAGATTGTGTTTGATAGAATATAACATGATAAAGCTTACTGATGTGTCACTGAGATGCTCAATCATCTTTGATTATTAAAACTTGAAGAAGTTGGCAGAAACATCAGAATTTAAACGTATAACTTGCTTGACTGACATCGATTTATGCAGTTTATGGTTGCGTAAGGCTGTTTTTCATCGGAGTTCATTCTTTTTCCACCAGTGAACATACTATATTGATCTAATGTCTTTAAACTGCATTGCAAAAGCGTCGTTTGTTTGAAAGCCGATGGTTTGATGGACGTTACTCACAACATTGCTTGTGAGTAGTATGTTTCTGAACTTAACCTCGAAGTTGCCGAACGGAATGAAGAGTTTCAATACGGCGTTGGCAGAACACTTGGAGACCAGACGAGAACACTACTTAGACTGGAGGACATATCAAAAGATGCAAATAGACGATTGAAAACTATTTATATGTATTACGTCAGTACTTTGTAACTCCTTACAGTCAACATAAATTCCTACTGCTTATTGCCTTTTTTAAGATCGTTGTACAAACTCTCCAATAAACTTCCACCTAAATGCAGTACATGAACTTGTCATTCATTGATGAGTTGGATGATGTTACACATTGTATGTGAGTATAATTTTATTCAGTTTATACTGTAAAGTGTTTATTTCGGCATGTTTCTTTCTTATACAATAGTGAACTGAAAAATCAAACAATCTTCAGAAATCATGAAACCTAAATGGATATATTTATTTTAATTTTAAATTATTGCCTGTATTTATTTCTTGGTGTAAAAGACAGCTTTGTATACCTTAAAATATACATTCAGAAATCTGATTACTTATTATCATTCCTAGGTAAACTCTATTGTAGTCACAGTTTATTTTATTTTATTTGAAAATGAAGCAAGAAACGTAGAATGATAAAGTGACTGGATTGGTCATCACTAACCATTATTTCAAGAGATGTTTAGAATGTTATTGAGTGTTCGATTTCAAAAATACTTTTTTTGAAAATAGGAGTTACAGCATTGAAAATAATGATCTGGAATATTATGTCGTTTATCTTCTCGTGTAAATGGGTAAGTATTGAGAACTTATATGATATAATCACACTATTATTCATCCCTCACTGGTTTATAGTGCTATTTCAACTGATAGTAGTTCTTGACGAAAACCAACATTGAGCTAGGTAAATATTTTGGAAAAATACTTTATTAAATGATGAATAATTGAAAAAAAGATGGTTATTTTATCAATGTACACTAATGTACTCACGGTTGGAGGAAAATTAAGTTTATATAAACGTTTAATTATCCATTCTAAAACTGGATTGGTTTTTATTAAATTGATATCATTTGGTAGTTTGAATTCGCTTGTTTTACATTCATCTTTGAAGTCGATCCATTCAACTGGTTTACCTTGTACATGCGGAATTAAATCATTCGGCAGTGATTTCATACAGAGTGTACCAATTTTGTCTAGGTCCCAATCGCCAGTAAGATTCTACAATATAATATATGTACTAATGGTCTTGTATTTTGAAAAAAAAACATGAATTTTATGTTTAAAAATCCCCATAGAATATTCAAAATTGAAGAATATTTGAGCGAACAATTGTTTTCAATAACTTCATCATCAGGCTCTACAGTTATAAGTCCATAATTATAATATTTTACAAAGGCCAAAAATAAGGCATGTTTTAATGAGTTTGACTATGTTATGTGTTAAAAAATGGTAAACGTTTGCATCCGTTACGATATATATATATATATACTTCAAAATTGTATTATTTGACAAATTAGAAGGGTCATTCAATAAAGGTCAGTAAACTGTTCAGTCACAATAAGATAATGTAATAGTACTATTGCAAAATTGAAAATAATTTTGTCAACTGAGATAATAATAATAATATTGTTGTGTGAATATAATATGTAATAAGGGGGGTGTTATCAAGGTAATTACGGTCAACAAATTGGGAATGATGGATATGAAGATTAAGATATAGATAATGACAAATAATGATAATTAGGAAAATAAATAAAAATGAAGGAAGGAAGCGGTAAGAGGTTTATAATATTCAGTCTAGGTATTTGGTGATCCAGTCGTAGGCCAGGGTAAACACAGAGGCTGGATATATTTCTTCTGGATGCATAAATTAGGTCTTCTGGAGTTGATCCAGATGGCTTCGGCTGTGTAAAGCAGTCGTAATCTAGCTCCTTGAGGTAGATATTTTGGAACTTGATATAAAACAGAGAAAGCTTCCTCTATTTTAATATGATGTTCACTATCTACCAAGTGAGAAAGAATGGTGCTGTTAATCGATTTGGTGACTCCTTTTCCCAACCATGCTGGTACATGTTCACGAACACGCAAGGATACAGCCCTCTGAGTACGGCCTATGTAACTAGCTCCACAGGAGCAGTTGAATTGGTATACACACATGGAGGAGCCCATCTTCGGTAACTTATCCTAGATTAGTTGTGTGAGTACTGGTTTAGTCGAGAAAGTTATGTGTAACGTCCTCTCGACAGATCTTTTGAGTCGACGTGTTAGAATATCACCCGCTATGTCGCCTTTAAAGTCAAGTTTCAGATATAAGGTCTTTTTACTGACCGTGTCGCAATGTCTTCTCTTTTTAATACTGTGTACGAGGTATTTTTTGACGAGATTATCCGGATAGCCATTATTACGTAATGTATTCTTTAGTATAACTTTAAAACATGCCTTATTTTTGGCCTTTGTAAAATATTATAATTATGGACTTATAACTGTAGAGCCTGATGATGAAGTTATTGAAAACAATTGTTCGCTCAAATATTCTTCAATTTTATGTTTATTAAACTTTTTGAAAATTAGAACTACGCTTGTTTTACTATCTATTGTTCTAGTTGGCTTAAGTCCATTATGACGTCTCCATTAGGTAACCTTTAAATATATAAATGTTTCTCCACTGGTAAGTTGTGCAGCATCGTACATTTTTATTTAATTTCATTAAAAAAAAGATTTTACCTTAAATGTATTTCATTTGACCTAACGAATCATCAGAGATATATCCTAAAGCAAAAACAATACCATTAGTAATAACAATAATCGTACCATATCATAGCTTCATAACAAGTACTCCTGATTATTTTAGAATCTTGAATGTAGTCATTCTAAAGTAGTTCTTAGTTTGGAATTCATAATGTAAAACTTGTTTAAAGAAATGGATTTATTCTTAACACAAATTCGACTATTAATAATTTCTGTGTATAATTAGATTTCATTATTAACACAAGTTTAAAATCATTTTCTTGTGTGATATCATTTCATAATATGCTCATTGTTATGATTTTAAGAATGAAATAGTGTACTATGTAAATGAATGTAAATATTAACCGATTTTGGCTTGAAACGGTTTTGTTTGTTTTTAAGTATTAAATTATTATTAGAAAGCCAGGAGTACAATGTTAAATATTTTGTATCGATTTTGTGGCTGAGTCAGCTGATGGAATGTAATGATAAATTCTAGTTAATTTTACATCATGTAAATATAACTAACCATTTTTTATATTTTCAGATTTTCCATTGAATTCATTTACGAAGATACTAAACATATATGGGACTTAGGAATTGGTTTAACGACGCTTGTAAAAAACTGATACGTTTTATTTGACCTATAACTTGGTGTTAAATTAACGAATTGACTAGCGGATGTTCGTATAGATATGAATGGAATTTATTGAGTTAACAAGTGTCTCAGATATTAAAGTAAACTTAAGTAGAAAAGGAAATTTAAAATGTAAATATAGCCGTTTCTGGTAAGATTTAGATTTTAGGATTTTCTTTCATTTTTCGTAACTAATATGATGACTTCTTAGTTTGCATAGAAATATATTATTTCAAGAACTTCATGCGCTTGTTTTCTCCATGAATTGAGACAAAAATGTATTAAGGCTTGTGGCAACTTATTAGTATTAAAAATTCGGTATAGATTCTATGCTCATTTAAACGTTATTCTAAACAATAGAATACGTAACAATGGTACTAAATATACTGGTTGTTACGGTTTATACAATTTTAACTGGGTTGTTTGGATATTTTTTATTATAAAGCAGATCTAGTGTGACTAGATCAACCGAACATGTTATATACAACGAAACTTTAACAACCTCACGCAAGCAAGAAGAAGAAAGATGAAATATTCAATAACGCTTTTATGCCTCAAGATTGGAAAATTTTGGGGCATAGATATCGCAATATATGCAGTATTGTTCATACCATAGTAACTAAGAAGAGTAGATGTGAATTACAATGGACTATAATAATGTCTAGGTATAGAATGTTACAATAATAATCGTTGTTGCATCAACACCATAAATTCACAACAATACTGATTTGACATAAGTATAACACTGAGATGTGAAAAATGACCAACTTTCATGAATTTAGTAGTAGTATGTACTCAAAATTGATGTTTAATAAGTTTCGTCTATCTCAGATATCGTTTTAATATTTTTTGGGAAACCTTTTCCATAAACTTATTTAAAAAATGTTCGACAATTCTTAACAAGGCTATTAATACAAGTTTTCCTATTTTCTTGTAAACTGTTTTGAAGGTAACAACAATCAGAGTAAAGTGACAGTGAAATTTAATCTTTACTGAGTCTCAATTTTTTTGAGAATACAATCGTTTAAAAAATGATCTGTCCAACTTTAATGGGATCTTGAATGTTGCATAGTTGACTGTTTTGTTAAACCTAGTTCTATTTATATACGGTTTTTACCACTAGATGATAGCAACCAGGGAACCACGGGAAACCAGGAAACGCTAAATAATTCCACGTTCAAGTTAAGGGCTAATCAGTACTGTGGGAACATTCTAAATGGATTTTTAAATTCACAGTTAGAGGAGTTCAACGTTACTAGACTATTTTATACGCTGATTGACGTTGGAAACTCGGATCACTGTATTTCAGTTAACTAGGCAGTAAGTATTGTATCTACAATGACCCCTGTGGTCATAAATTCAAGCATATATGTTGTTATAGATGAGCGCTAATGATGAATTTCAAACTAGAACAAAGTTGGTATGAAATGCTATATGATTTTCAATGACTTTTCAGCCAATTTCAGTTCATAATGAAAAGAGTATTGAAAAATTAATTCAAGTAAAATTTAAAATGATAGAAAGATACATTTAGACAAAAAATGAAAAGTGATGATTAAAGATTTATTGATTTACTTGATACTCATCCAAATCACAATCATCTAGTAATTCTTGTTGATTTTCGATGATTTGATTCTTTTCTAATTTAAGTTGGTTAGCCACATTCGACATTTCTTCTTCAACAGGATCGTCTGTTTGATCTTCTGTTGATGATGTTTCGCTCACTAACAGACCGTTTACGAATTCGATTTTCCATTGACGGAAAAGTCTTAATGGAATTAGCCTTTAAAATAAACATTAAAAAATATACATTATTTAGAAAAGTAATTCAATCAGTCAATTATAATCATTATGGAGCTTGGCTCAAGTGTAATTTAGCCCAAGCTGTCATACTAACACAACGAGATGAAGCTAACAAGATGAATTTAAATAAATTAATACCAATGGTAATGAGAAAGATTAAATATTGAGAAAATGATTCGAAAAGATGGAACAAAAAGGCATACATGATAGAATGGCAAGATTAATAGGGAATGCATTTGCACCATTGTTCGTGCCATCCAGTGTTACGAACCACTGACTACTATCGTCGTGTGGATCCCAATCAAGTAGTCTTAACCCATCTGCATGGCTCAAACTAAAAATCAGTAATTTTATAAACTAATACTACGTTTTGTTTCGGATGCCCCTAGCTTCATTCTAACTCATTTTTACACCAGAAAACACAGCAAAACGAGGTAAGCGGTGATTAGTCATATGAATGTATATCTCGACCACCTCAGTTGATGAAGTCCTATTAACTCATCAGCTAACTCGCCATCCTTACTTAGTACTCCGGGCCTAACCTCAGCGTTGTTAATTGGGTCGTCCCACGATATGAGAGCAGTACTTAGAAGATAGCTGTAATAAACTGCTGGTAACTTATGAATATCCTGTATTTTTAAAGGCCACATTTTACAGCCATAAAGTAAAAAGGGGCAGACTACAGATGAAAATTTCACGAGTGATGCATGTTGGCTATAGCCAAGAAAACTTTCTGAATTCGTATAGAGGTTTCTTTAGACACCAACTCACCAAAGCTGATGAGACTTCCAGGATGCACAAAATGATCATCACACTCAACTACTCCATTCCCTAACATTGGTTCAGGCATTAACGCTGACCAGTTCTGAAGCAATATCTTACAACTGCAGAGGTAAAATGCGTCCTAAATATGCTTACATTGTTGTTCAAGGTGATCAGAAGACTACTTTTTGTCAGTATTTTCATCGTCGTTATTTGCATGTTCTAAATCGACCTCTAAAATGTTGGAAGACGAAAGTGTCGTCTATAAGAGAAAATCTGTGGCGAAATAAATTCGAAAGGGGTAACAAAAGACATTGTAATACAGTGCAACTTCTATTTCATGCCATATATTAGAGGCAATTAAACTTCGTAAGTTACAATAATATAAATTTAGATATTTTGTCAGTCTTTTAATTTATCAGAATGGGTTTTGTGGAGATAAATTAGATTCAAGTGAGATGGTGAGACTATGATTTATGGACGACCTTTCAGCGACGCTAAATTGATCTTGAGAATGTTCACCTATTGACGAGGACTAAATGAAAGTTGTAAGCCAGAGCGGGGGATTAGAATTATGATTTACAGTTGATGGTTAGGGTTAGCAATTAGATTCAGGGTTGTTATCACGATCTAACATCAGCCAAAGTATCAAAACGCCATTTTGTCAATTGGATGACTGAATTTCGTGCCGAAATCCAAGATCTGTTACCCTAAATCTGATTGGTTCGTCTATAAATTATAGTCACGCCAGTAAAATTAATATCCACTTTTTGTCAAAATGTATTTCAGACCCTAACTCAATTCTTATTAGAGCTGGTATTTTTAGTCATTGACAATAATCTATCAAACTTTTCTTCCAATTTAAGTAGTCAGAGAAAATTTTCTTCATTATCTGGGATCAAGTTAATTCTATACAGCTTTTCGCTTCAGTCTATTATTCTTCAGTGATGGACTCCTATATCCATGGTTATCAGATTTTGCAATGTGAAAGATTTAGATTTGTGAATCGTAATCTAATAGTCCATGTTTTCAATTTCATTTTTAAGAGGACTCCCAAGGAATTCTCAAATAGGATGGTACAGCTATCTTTTTTCCATTGTTTCCAGTAGTTCTTCAGCTAATAATTATATATTTGATTTACTTCTAAATAATATAGAATTTTACGGAAATCTTTTATCAAGGTAATGTAATTTTCAGTAGTACAAGAAGATAGGAAAATAAATTATCTCAACGGTAGTGTTCAGAAAGTAGATTTGAATGAAATATAACTCTACTTATGTTGCGGTCATTTTAAAATCTTAATCCTTAAAACTAAAAACCACTGATTTCCAGTATCTCAAGGACTTCAATCAAGTGGAACTACAGCTCATCTGTAAATCTTGACATGAAACATAAAATTAAGATTTTAACTTGACTGTTTTAAAAAAAATTTGTTTCCATTCCTTTTTTAAATTTTCAGTATATGTAAAACTACAAAGGTGTTTTTTAAAAGCTATACACCGTCTACCTTTTGAACTTACTTCCCTGTGAACATCCGATATTCAGCAACATTCATAACAAATTGTAATAATAATGGTATGATATCGTTTTGAATAAATTCATAATGACGCTTATAAGAAGCTTGTTGTCGTTTAGCTTTTTGTTCAAACCAAAGTTGTTTTAATATCGTAAGTTTCTCTTTTTCTTCCTTTTTTTGCTGAAGCAGCATTTCCTATTATAGAAATTCAAAATCAGCAAACATAATGTTAATGAACTCAAACAATATTGTTGATAATGGGTTTTCTATTCATAGTGTCATGTATTTCGCAGCATTATATCTTAATGGGACAGTTCAATGAACACATATTCTATTTAGTTTTAATTTTAATAGTGGACATTGTATTACATTTATTTAATGCAAGTGATTTTGGCGTCCTTTCAGGTACAAATTATTAACCGAAAAATTCGCTGACTCCTCAATAAACCTTCCGTTAATCTAAGGGAGACAGTAAAATATGGTAACAAAAAAAGTGAGCAATTGAGTGAATTCAAGCTAAACTGAGTAGGTTTGGTCATTAACGTAAAGCCAGGAGAACTGTTTGGTGATTTTCCATCCGTGATTTCAGACTACCTTGACGAAGCAACCAACATTAGTGTTGAGTTCAGCAGAAATTAACTAACAACTTTTCAGAAATACTAAGCAATTTGTAACCTTATCTTGGTTTATCATTATTGTCTACTACCAAAATCCATATACTCTCAGATAGCTCATTTATTCGTCGTAGCAACTGTAACTTTTCTGTTTAAACTAGTGAAACGACCGTAGGTAATACCTCCAGACTACAGGCCTCATTGTTAAGTTGTTCGCAACAGTATCAGTGAATTTATTTCTTATCCAACGTTTTATTTCACCAACAATTTGTCGTCATTTTCCTTTTTGCAGCTGTCCAGTATTACTAATGTTTTCATTACCTTTGTTATTTCTGTTCAGCCGTTTGGTAGATTCTCCCCTTATAATTGATCCTTTAGTTTCTGACTACTTGAACCAATTCATTATTTCCAGGGGTTTTTAACTACTTTCTCAGTTTGTGTAATAATATACTGATTTACAGAAATCAAATTATTTTAGCTATTAGATAGTTGGAAGCAATCGGTAAGAAGGTCTAATCAAGGATTCATGCTATCTGATACTATATATCGAGGTGTTTCCTCAGCTTTTATGAATATGATTGTTGTGTCCTGTGACCTATCAAATATCACATGACAAAATCTCCAAAACCAGAATACCAACCTCTCCGACCTTGTCCCTGTGTTAAACCAATAATGCGTTAACCAGCACGAGTAGCCGTGATTCAACTCTGAATCTTTATCGGTCCTCTGTATAGCAGCTTCTTGCTTAGCCCAACATGTTCAGTTCAAAACACAGATATCAGCCTCCGCTTTGTGAGCAGTGCATTTCAAACACATGTAGTTTCCATACAAGTAGACCAGACCGAATCGCATCAAGCCAAAAGTGGCTGTGCGTATAGGTGACTGTAACTAACAGAGTGTAAATAAATTAAGAATTGTATATCGTATAACAGCAGCCAATAGGTCAAATGAAAGCTTATGATGAAAGAAATATGAATATACATATAATCTACCTACTCATTAGTTATCCGATGAGAATATATGTAATAATAGGCCATAAACAATTCCTAACAATCACTATTCATTTAGTTATTGTTCGGATATAACAATAATTCCACTATAATATTCAAACCCACATCATCTAATACCACTGTAAGAATCACTACTACTGAGATTACTTCTTATAAGACACTAGCAGATCATTTGGTAGTAGCCTAGTAACCTAATATTGCATAATCTGATCTTTGGGGTGACCAAGTATATCAGCTAATTAGAACACAGATTCAATAATTCCTACTGGCTAAGATCATAGGCACATGTTGCTATTTAGTTTCGGACGGAATCAAAACAGTCGTTCATTGTTATCTGGTTTTCAATGGTTCTTCAGTTGGACTTGGTTTGCAACGCTTATTACTCGTAAATTATATGAAAACTTTATAAAACTGCTTACCATAAAAAGTAAGAATTTTTGAAAGTGGGGGATAAAATTAAATATCAGGAAGGAAAACATTTTATGAACCTTCAGTTTATTCCTTTAAAATAATCATATTTGTAATTGGCCTTACCCTTTCATGATCCATTGCTAATTGAAACTCTAATTCTCTTCTAGTTTCATATTGTCGCTCTCTTTCAAGACGATTTTCCAAAATTATTGATTTTTCTTGTTTAATTTGTTCTAATTGCACAGAAATACGACTTTCTAAGTGAGACTGACGTGATAATCGTTGCATAATTTGCTCTGATCTGATTTCCTCCTAAGATTAAATGATCACAAAGAATTATGGTTTTAGAAGTTTAAGTAAAACGTTTGTATTATAATTTTTGGTACGGATGTATTTATATTTAGGTCAATTATAAGCTTGGCTAATTTAATTAGTTTATGAAAAACTAATTTAAATGAAAATCACTACAATTACAGTCTGATTCACTGGAAATCATTAAAGTTAACTTTATATTGATAGGAAACGGCTGTTCATTATTTTTTCCTTTCACTAAATCCCTACCCGATTTTAGTTCATAATGAAATGAATTTGCAAGTGATTAGAATCTTTGACAATTAAATTCTGGAATACTTGGATAATTTTTGTTCATTCATAGGAAATTAGATAAGATCATCCTCCCGGACAGTGTTATAAGAACTCTAAGTATAGTATTGTTAGTGAAAATGACATATCCAATGTGTCAGCATTCTCATCAACAAAAAACAAAGGGATTTCACTGCTATAACATCATGAAAAATTCTCTGTCTAAATATAAATGTTTTATGCTACCATTTTTAACCACTACTTAATCACTTTTACGGGATTGTTTAACCTCTGTTAAGGCTAAACTACCTTTGCTCAATCTGGATTACAAATCCAATTTTCGGTAACTAAAATGTTTTTCCTGTTGTGGGTATAAATCCAATGTAACCTTGTGCTCTTTATTTAACAATTCTAATGTAGGTTAAGCACTTAAAATTTATTTTGTTCTTACTTGCAGACTAATAGCTTCTCTTCTAATATTTAATTCTATCACAATCACTTTAAAGACAACTTACTTGTCGAATGTGATTTGCTTCCAGTATATCCATAATAACTCGTCTTCGTCTTTTTTGACGCTCAGATATTGCTTTTTTCTCTTCGTGAACTTTTTTATGAATTTGTTTCATATAATTCATTGTCGCTTTATTAAAATCGTCTGTTGAGGTGTTAAGTGTTAAATTTGGACTTAATTGTTCGCTAGATTTATCTCCAGTTTTTGATACATCACCGTTATACAGTTCACATTTCTCTTTACGCGAGTCAAATTCATCCAACTCCTTTAAACTGATACTATTCTGTGAATGTAATAAGGTATTATTAAATAAATCTGAAATGTAATTCTTATCATACGTTACATTACGATGTATTTTGTTGAGTTATTGAATGATAGCTATGATGAACTGTAAATATAAAGGTTTATGGTGTTCAGAAATTTTATTAAAGCAAAATGTCACACCTAAAGGACAATAAACTGAACGCCTTAACTAACTAAGTTCCTACCCATATTAGTTGAACGTTTAAGAAAACATACTTGAAATAGTGTTTTGTTTTTAGCATGACTGGACTTATTTGGTTAAGACCAAACAGTGATGTAATTCACGAAGTGACTGAGAAATCATCTCAGTAGTATAATAAAATGTAAGGATTTAAAACAAGGTTCTGGTAATATCACAAAGATCAGGAATAATTTACTTGAAGTTAATCATGGCTGATTGCTTAAAGATGAGGTCTTTCTTACAACTTGGAACATATCATGTGATTATACTGAGTTTTAGACCTATTACATCAGCTTTTTTATTGGAAATTTCGTGCCCTTATGTTTTTGAAAAGTGTAATACCACTTTTTTTAATGTAAATCTTTTCTACTCAGTGTCTTATGATACTAGATCGCTTGCTAACTGTTCTTGCCCATAGAAATACTAATAGGAATGAACTTATTCAGTTACTATAATTATAAATTCGGTTGAAACGAAGTCTTAGATCACTCAAAAGAAGTGGTTGGAAACATCTTGAGTTGAAACACAATTAAGTGGATTGAATAAAAGTAGCTAATCATACTCAGTTGAATTCATTGACCTTTTTATAAAAATTTGAAATGACGCACATATGTGTCAGGTTCGACATTGAGTATGATTGACTGACCTCAGACCATCTTAGAGCCAAAATAAAAGTGTTAGCTGACTGAGAATGTGGAAGGCGTTCTAATAATTACTAATACATATACATCATGAGCTATGAATTCATCGATTCAAAATCAAGACAACATTGAAATCTTTAACCTACGCTTTACAAATACATATCAATGTAACGGAAAATAATCATAATAATAATAAGATTACTGTATGTGTTTGCTTGGATTGTTGCCTGTCCATACTTTTAGTTGTTAGTTTATTCCGAGCAGCTTTTGGTAAATTGATGATAGATGCTCTAGAGATGAGTTGAGAAAATTAGTCATATTGTAAGTACTGAAGATAAACCTTAAAAATTGAGCATAAAAGTTAGTAAATCAGGTAAAAAGTAAGTTTTGTCTTTAAAATATTGTTTATTAAAACTTTATCAAGTCATATTAAAAGTGACTTACGAATTCGTGATAGTCATATGCTAAACAATATTTTGATTCCTTATGGTAAATGTCAAAAGGTTGGTTAACGTTTGAAGTATTTGATTTTTGACCTCCGGGTTGAAGGTACAAACATAACTTCACCTACTTCGGTTTCAATAGTTGAATAGTTTTACTAATCGTTACTCATAAAGTGTGATATGAGAGCATAATACATGAACCGTTTCTCTTGTGGTGCCTTAAAACATTGAACGTATATGTTTAACGACTACACACCTATCGTCAAATCATAATCGATCACAGGCTAAGAAAGAATATATCATAGCTTTGAAATGTTAGATACAGGTTATTATCACTGATACAGTTTTGGAAGAAGCATCATGATTTTCATGTTTCAGAATCATATTTTCAGATCTGAGGTTTTGATTTGCGATTAAGTTTTCTGTTTGGTTAAGTGATAACATTAGTTTTCTCCCTTCTATATATACATACATAGTCGTTCTAGCACATGGGTATATATCAGTAGAGATAACGTGAGGTTCAAAACTGAAGGGACAAGGAGAAACAACTTTCAGTCACTTTTCATTTCTCACCTTAAACCGTAAGCAATGATTTTTTCAGCATATATTAACGTATTGGAACTAGGAATGTTAAGAATATTTTGTTTTTCTCAAGGCTAAGTGTTTACGAAATCAATGTTCACTTATTTCTAAAAGTATTGCGTTCGGAATAGTTATCTAATTTCGTTTTATAAACTTCCATTGGGCAAAGATCGGATGGAAAAAATAAACAAGCATTATAATTTCATAAGTGCCAAACCCATTTACATGAAAAGTGTTTATGCTAATAACTTAAGCAATTTTTGCGACTGTAAAAGATGTACAATATAGAGAAAAATTAACCATTTAAATTATTTTGAGCACTTTCGCAAATGTTTGTGCAACCATCAGTACACAGATAACGAATAAAGTAATGATTTTAAATCAAGTTTGATAAAGTAGGTTTTCTAGTAAGACGAATTTTATTTACGTGATTCTTAGAACTTTTTTGAGTAAAATTTAGAATATATGTACAATAGTATGTCTTATGTTATATCGAAAACTAAACGAAGTTAGCTACAAAATTATAAGAATGAACACATTTGAATTATCTACTCATTCTAATCATTGGATAATATTAATCTTTTCAATTTATCTTTACTAAATCTATATGGCAAATGTCAGATGCTTAAAACCCTTCTCCATATCTCTTAAATCTTTAAATCTGTCGGGAGATATGTTGAGCCTTGGTCTATTTCATCAGTTAGTTTAAAACTGCATTAAACTGACAAAGAATTAGTGAGTTAAAAATAAAAGCTTTAAGTAGCAATATGGATGACGCAGTATCAAACAAAGTAAGCATCTTGGATACAAAATTCCTAGTTAGTCACGAAGGACACCGTACCCATTGTGAATTCCAAAAGGCCTGAGATTGATTCCGTGTAAGTTCGTAAGTATGGTCTGATAAGGAGTTCTGATCTACAGAAACATCCTTACGGCGTTTAGTCATTTTTGGTTGTTCGTAAAATGGCTTGATTCTTAATGAAAATTACTTTCTCACAGTTTACAAAATATCCTTAAAACCATTTCGCTTACAATTAGACCATAAATTTAGAAACATATAAGATAAACCAACATATTGTTATCCTTTGCAATATATTTTACAACGAAATATAAACGACCACTTACTCTAATTTGGCCATTAATTCAGATTGCATCATACGCAAGTCACGACTTCTTTGAAGTCTTGAATTTCGACGTTTTTGGACGAGAGCATCTTTTTCTAATGTGTTCATTAAATCAGCTTCTTTAATTCGCTTCTCATTTATTTTCATTTGTCGTTCATAACGTGACAGAATTTGCGCCAAACTAACATCGGATTGTTTCGGAATGAGTTGCTTTAATTGCTTTTTGAACATTAGGACGATCAAATTAAAAAACAGCATATTTAAAATTAAACGCTAGTTAGAAATACAACTAAGTAATATCTCTGCACTATTTCCGCAGTTTGAAATGAGCAATATCTTCTGCTTCTGTGAAACATACACAATTGTCCTTGAATACAATGTATTCTATTACCAACACCAACGGAACGATTAAGAGGACTGGTCTAACTAACACAGTCCTGTGATGCCTACGACTTAAAACACGAAATAAACATACATAAATGCAAAATTTAATCCTTAATCACAAAATTCTTGCCGCATATGAGTTTCTCAGTGTGAATATAATTCAATTTGCTTTGAACCATTACATTTACGCTTGTTTTACATCATGTAAAAATAAAGAACGTTGATAGTGCGAATATTGAGCAAACATTAGTGTCATTTCCCGTTTTCTCAAGTTTGTTACAACTCACATGATGATATTTGCAGAGTACCAAATATTATGAACTTTCTAAATTAAATGCGTTATGAATTATAATATAAGCTTTTCACTATTATGACAACATATAATTTGTCGGAAATAACTCTCAGTTGTGTTCGTGGGTAATAACTTCAAAGCTTATTCTCAGTTGTTCAGGATAACCGGATGACCTCAAACTTTGTTTACAGTCGGCGAAGAATTATCAAGTTATTCCAAACCTTACAAATATGTAACATTTCGCCAATTTTTGCACAAAAAATATTAAATGTTACACAGATAATTATATCCTAATTGACGAGTCCATTGAATTGTTGTGTAACATGTTCCGCGTTACATTCGGGAGTTCAAAATCATGACAGATATCAAAAGAGGTCATAGTCGGATTATCAGAAACCCTTTGACTACCTTTTATTCATTCATATATAAGTCTACTGGTTTATAGATTGAAAAAAGTGATTGAAATCCTCATACAGTAATTAAAGTTCACCACATTTAAAATAAACTATTGTTAAGTTATGAACTTTCATAAAAATCCTATAAATGTTCCTAACGTGTTCCAGAAATGACAATTTATAAGAATTCATCGAAGTAATAATGCAAAAACGTTTGAAATTTAGGCTTGAATGACTTGAAGATAATCGTAATCTTTGAAACGTGTTGCAGGTATTTTATTTAATATGACGCTCTCTGCCTTTTAGTTAAAAAATAAAATGCAAGATTATCCATCTGGCTCGCCAGTACGCAGTTACACATTTAACTGTAGTTATAATTTTGTATACATTTTGCACAATACTGCTTTTCAGACATTATCCTTTAAGTGTACACTTTATAATATTTTAAAAGACAAAACAGTACCAGTTGGGATCACTAGGTAATCTAAAGAACCGTCCATAATTATGAAAGTGATGACTTTATCAGCCCTCTTTCAAAGTACAGCATTGTGAAATCATATTTTGATGAAATTTGCAGGCCCATTTGCTGGAGTACTAAATAGAATTATCCTACAACCTGACTTTAATCATATCATTTGATATGTTGTGGGTGATAGGATGCTTAAACATCTGTAAATACTTCTTTACAGCACATATCTGTTTAAGGGCATAAAAACTAAAGTGAGTTCGTAATAACTGGTTAAACTGGGGTTGGTTTTGAGCTACATATTGAATAGCCGATTTCCCTTGGTTACTCGGCTATGCGAAAACTTATTTAAACTAAATAAAGCAACTTTTGTCAATTAGCTCTTTAGTTTTAAGGATTTTGGATTATATGACTTTTGCTATAGCAATAATCAGTTTAATTTTTATTATGAATACCACCAGAACATGCTTTTTGACCAGCCTTGCTCCCCTATAATTTTCTGTGATAGTGTGGTTTGTGCTTTTGATAAAACATCCGTCACTCGCGAAATCTGTAGAAATGGTTAAAGACTAAGTGTGTGAAAATTTCTGTCAATATGTCTACCTTTAAAATGTCAATCAGTCTGTATTGTTTACATGTTGCTTAAGTTTTACGGACGCATCTGTGATACTAATACATTGTCTCAACTGATTACTACCCGAAAAGGCCTTGGCTTCTAAACAACTTCTAGTTTTTAATAAATCCTCAAATATTTTTCAAGTATAAAACCAGCTTTCTAAGTGTCTTTATATTATAATCTGCCATTCTTACTCTTTTGTACATATATTGAATCAGATAACCAAAAGTATGTTTGGAGTCATGGATTAGTAGAAATTTAGTAATTCCGGATACATATCATTTCTGAACACTAAGGTAGACAAAATTTGTAAATATTCATACGCTGTGCAGCTTGATCTGCTGGTTTTCACTTTATATTGTTTATTCTACAACTGTTCCAGTAAAAGCAATTACCTTTGTTAGTTTCAAATATAGTTAAGCTTTAAATTTTGCGTGAAAATTCTGCATATCTATCCAATAAAAACATTGGTTGATTACATTATACACAAACTAATATCAAGCGATCTAAATATTACAAAGTACATGATGTTTTGCTTTATATTCACGAAAATATTTGTCCCCATATGACAGTGAGTCAATTAATGTTTAAATAACTTTCTTTCAATGGTTACTCATGGTTCAGTTAGAACAGTTTCACAAATGCATAAATAAGTGCGTATGGAACGAAAATAGTGATTACAACTAGCCGTTTCTGAAATTATAAGAAGAGGTTCATAAACTTTAAATTAAATTTTAATCGCAACGGAAAATCTATACCAACAAAACCGATTTCAGAAACAAAAACAAAGTCGAAGTTGATCGAGGTGTTTATTACGGATACCAGGTGAACTAGTTGTTGTTTATCAGGGAATGTGAAGTCGTGATATGACTGTTACTATGATCTGTGAACAGTTATTACGTATCTAAAACTACAGAAATGTAATCACCAATGGCTGTAATGTTATCGACTACAGTCAAAATATTTTCAAAGCTGTGTGTTTGTTTTTGGGAAGATATAATATAATGGACCATATAGTCTCTGGATTTCATATATAAAGCTTATTTTGGATGTCGTAGTGAAATATAAAACACTAGATTGACGCATAAGCTAGCTACTATTTTCTGTTGCAGGGCTTATGAGCACGCTCTAGAGATCTGAATTATAAGAAACAAAACAAAGCGGTTTTTGATATCTGCACTCAACAATAGGCAAAATGAGAAGATTTAACTCGGTTTTAAGTGTACAAACGATAGAGCAGTGAGATGCATCTATGAAACAACCTCAGAATAAACACCTGAAGGAATGAGTCCGATCATTTGTTAATTAAGCTAACTTCTAAGTACTCTTCGGCTAACCATACTCTAATACCAGTTTGATAAAACAATAATATCCAGTCTGTAATATATATAGCAGACGGTGCTAATCAAAAAGGTCTCGTTCGATTTATTATCACATGTTATATTTCCTTCTATCAGTTTGTTGCCAATATCAACACAGCTATATCTGATCTTTTTTCCTAAATATCTTTGAAACCCCATTATTTAAGTTTAAAAGGTAGATTTACAGGTTTTCCCGATGTAAAGTGTTATATTTGGGTTTAGATATGGATAAATTATTTCCACCGTCTCATGTGTTGTTAGTCACCTAGCTAAATTCAAACTTAAAGTCCTGCTAAGTGGTCTTGTCAGGTTAAAGACACGCATAATATTAAAAATATTTATGCGAAATAAAGTGTTCGGTTTTGTAATCCTTATTAATGTCGATGATATGAACACAATAACTATATGGCTATACTAGCCTTTTAGATATCTCACAGATCCCAAAAGCCTAAATGAGACTTATCGTGATCTGGTAATCATAGATATAACCACTCACATTCTTGTAAGATAGATTTTGGAGAGTATTCAGTTGTGTATGCTCGATATTACTGAAGTCAATGGTATCATATCGGTTGAAACCATCCACACCACTTAATATAACGTAAATTTGGTACAGAACTTGTTGTATACTGCCAGATTTTTCGGTGATTATGTCATGGCTTAGGTGTGCATCAATATTTATTCCCATTTCGTGGAGTGCTGATCGGAGGTAAGAGTAGTTTTGAATGACCGATTCCGGCGAGCTTAATGGAAGTTAGAAAAGTCACTTATACCTGGAATTTTTTAGAAGATAGAATTTCTGAAATTTGTTATATTTGTGCAAAAGCTTTCCCAAATAGTAACCGTTTGCAAATAACTTCTCCAGTGGTTGACCTATAAAATGAAGATATTGCATAATAAAGAATACATCTAACCATGTAGGTTCAATTCATGTGACACCCAAGAATAAATTATACTTGACATTATTGTAGACAAAAAATATTCATATTATGCACGATACCGTTACTAAATCAACGGTCCAATATCCAATATCTTCAGTCTTCAGTAATAAGGACAGTAGGATAGTAAACCTGTGTTAATCCTGACAGATCACCTTCCAGTGAAAGTCTAGCATATTCTTGAGAATATTCACTGATGAAGCTGGTGTCCCTTGTTCGGGTAGGGCGTTCCAGTCATTGACTACTTGATGAGAGAAACGGCACTACACTTAAAGTTTATTAGGTCGTGGTTTACCAACCTTCTTGCTATGACCTCGGAGATTATCAGTGCTGAAAGGGGCAAAAAGATAGGACATAATAACACACAAATCATAATCAAAGATTCGAAGTGCCAGTATAAGATCACCTCGCGTGCTACGATACGACAAAGTGAAAAGGTTTAGGTGTTTTAAGCACTCATCTTAAGGAAGTCTAGGAAGACCCTTCACTAATTTTGTTCCCATATGCCAAACACTCTCAAGTGAGTTAGTATTCTAAATCAGACATGGGATAGCTGCTTGGATACAGTACTCTAAGTGTGGTCTTACAAAGATGAGATATAAAATTCGAAATATCTCCTCCTCAAAGCCTTTAAATACTCGGCGAAGTGATCATAATGCACGATGACCTTTGGGATCAACTGCGTTGCAATTCGTAGTTTTTTCAAGTCGTGACTCACTATTAATTCTAAGTTTTTATGTTCTTCAACGCGTGGAAGAGATGTAACATCAATAACATAACTGTAACCATTACCGTGTCCGAAGTTCATGAGAACACTCTTCCTAGAGTTAAGTTCTAAACCTCGAACTCGGGCCCATCTAAATACTTCATCTAAGTTAGCTTGGAGGTCAAAATTATCAGCCTCACTTCTTATGGTTCTCCAGATTTTTACATCATACGCAAATAATATTGTCGAAGACTTAATTAATAGCGGTAATTCATTAACGTAGAGAAGGAAAATTAGAGGGCCTAAGATAATGCCTCGTGGTACACCTCTTTTGGTCGGCTTTCATTCGGATAGCATTCCATTGACCCTCACTTTCTGTCCTCAGTGACATGTACAGATACTATGGCTGGTATCGCGGTGTGACTGAGACAAGTATTTGTAACAATACACGTAGAGTAGACTTTGCTAAAATAGTTTGAAGACGTCTCAAGTTTTACCTGATCAGGTTCAGCTAGTAAATCTGGATTTTCCTGTAACAGTGATGGGGTAATACCATCACTACGTTTTGTTCGCCGTTTAAGATACGAAAACAAGCGTTTCGGACAAGTACGGCGATCTTATGCCAAATGTCGTTCGTAAGTAGTACGTGATTTAGCTATGATTTTGTCACATATATTGCGTATTTTTTTATATTTACACTTAAATGATGTGGTCCTGTTAACAAGAATAAGTACCAGAAGTGTTTCCTACGCTTCAACAGCTACCGAGTTTCATTATTAATCCGTGGTGGGTAATGTGATAGCTTACGTGTTACCGTAATCGTTGCAAAGAGCTTGTGCAAATCAGTTGTTGTCTTTGTGTTCATTCCGTATTATTATTATGCTTTTACAGGTCTTTGACTATGTTCAAAAATCTGTGATCTAGTTACTTTAATTAATCAGTTCCAGTTGGTTTCTTAGTTATTAATAGGCTTGTACATTTTGTGATCTAAATCACTACATTTATCTAAGACATTTAGGATTTCTCGAACTGGAAGCCAACATATTATAAGGCACGCGACTGGTTGGTTGTGGCATGGAAAATAACATGAAAGGATTCAAATATAGGTATAAGAATAGACAATTGTCTAAAGAGGCAAATAGATAAATGAACAAATGAATTAATTGATTTGATCAGAAACATGGACTGGTCTAAGCAAGACCAATATTAAGAGCCTGAGAGTACTGAACCTTTGATTTGCTCTAGTATAGGAATCCTCGGTATTCTGTATTGATGATCTCGGCGTGGGACTCGTACATGTGACTTTCGGTTTCTCGCACGAATGCTTAATCTGTAGACCACTGAATCGGTACAAGACGGTGTTAATGTCTAACTTCAACCAATTCACAAAATTCCACATCCATCTCTCATTGCATTCGATGGGTAACTGCCTCACATCGCGCATGGATTATCTCCAGCTGTCTTGGATGCCTATTAGAACACCGGGAGTTTACTCTCGAAGTTAGTAAAAAATGAGCATACATTAATTTTCACTGTGGATTTTAGTATTTCAATGACATTTAACAATGTCCTCAAACCTATTCTCTTCTTGAGGATGATAACCGAGTGGGCTGCAGTAACTTGACTGGGGGGATTTCAGATGGAAGTTTCTTGATGTTATGGTACAGTTTCATGTCCTTGGTAGCACTCATTTTGTAACATCTGGTTATTCGACCTCCCCAAGTCTTGTGAAGTTGATAGTCATTTGGCTATTCAGTAATTGGTAATAGTCACGGAATTTCCCTTCTCAGATTTAGGAATGAAGTATTACCATCTGAACACCCACAGTTTGGGAACCCCAGTGTTAGTAGAAATTATAACTCTAAGGTGGCAGTCGACACATATCGCCAACACTTATCTTCCCTTATGTATCGTATAATATCTAAAGTTTCATGCTCTGAATGCTCACTTCAATATCCATGATATCTGTCAGAACTATGACCTGGTGTCCGAGACGAAAAAAATGTTTCAGAGCTTGACAGATATGAATGAGGAACTGCTAAACGTTGTGCGCTGTCAAGGATCTGATGGACAATAACAGCTGTTGTTTTTTAAACTCTTGAGTGATGTACGGGCTGTCGCTACTGCAGTGCACGAATCAAATATGTTTCGCTTGGATTGCAGTTTGTTAGTTCCGGGACATTGTGAATCACTTATCTGATGGGTTCAGTACACGTTGTTGATTCCTAAGAGACCTGTCTCTCTCTAAAGGTTGCGGATGTCTTGGATAGGAGCTAGTATGAAACAAAGAAACACAGCATTTCAAGTAACAGCAACAATTTCGAATCCAATCCTGGGTAGATTTTCAACGCATTCGCTCTGTTACAACCAGTACCAAGCAAGAAGCATTTATTTGTCGAAACTCATTCGAATTTACAATAGGTTTACTTCCGACACTGAGACAATAGCCACATGGTATTACATTTAGTCGTTCGTGGTTAATGGACATGACAGAGGGTTATTCATTCAACCATGGGTTGAGAGCCATATTTCGGGAGTAACTTTTGTGGTCACGTTTTTCTTATTCTTTGTGGATCCTGCGTAAGGGGGGACATTTGGTGAGTTAAGTTATTCATGACAAACCTGTGCTTTTGTTGCTTGTTCGCCAAGAGATTTACACGACACAAGTACCCGAACCACACGCATGAGCAGTTAACTACGAACCCGTAATAGTACGTGGTTTAATCATTTTTCTTAAAGCCGGTGAGACTATCCACCACAAACGTTTCTTCCTGATTAGGCGAGGTTTGTTACAACTAATGAGTTACATGCAGTAGGACAGTTGTCGTTATGTCCTACTCTTTCAGTACACGATATATTCGAACTTCGTCCTGGAGACTAACTTTAGTTCTTGATTTATAGTTGATGTCTTCTGAGACTAGAGAGGGGATGTTAGATCAGAATGAGGTACTAGTTCCTCAATAAAATGCTTGCTTTAGCTGTTCGGTTAATACTCTGAGTACTTTCTTGGAATATGCCTTCTACCACCGATCCTAGGGTCATGTAGCGTTTAGTCAGAATGTATACTTTTAATTCCATACTAACCCCTATTATAGGACTCAAACTTGCCGTTTTTGTTGTTACGAAGTAAGATCTAGTTGAGACACAAGTGCTGCATTATGCTTCGGAGATTAGAGAAACAGATAGCTAAAAAATACTACTTAAGAAGAGGAGAGCGAATAAAGGTAACGTTTGAGCAAACCCTTGGAAACACCGTTGGAACATTGCCTTTAACCTTCCTCGCCGCAACTGCCACAAGTCCTGTGTTACCGAGTATCTGATTTAGTGTATTTTGCAATAACAACAACTATGGAATGGAGCAATTTCCAGAGAGAGATGGTGCTAAATTTAGGACTGATTAAATGCAAATCGTTTTCGGTTGCTTACCCTGTTGAATGTTCGTGGGTTATATACGATTAATGAGTCATCGGTCCACTCTTTCGGTAATTATTTACTCTGCCAGGTTGTCACATGTGCTGAATTTTACATCTCTTCGGGCGGAAACGTACCCCAGGTTTAACGTAAAATCACTAAAGGCTGAAAGTCACAGGAAATTAAAAGCTTTTATGCCTTCGCGGTCAACTCTTTAAACAAATTTCATTGAGGGACGATACCAACGTAAATGATTCTGAAAATAGAAGACATGGCTTAATATTTATTGAGTTCGTATTTGGGCTCTACAACTCGAATAAAAATAGTTATGAAAGATTGGTCTATTGTTTTGGCCTGATATGGCTTTTAAGTTTACGACAAAGTTATCTAAATAAACTCATTAACGAAATGAGGTGTTCGAAATAGATTGTCAGAAAAAGCAGGTCATGTGTATCAAATATTCTCGTTGCATGGGGAGACTTAATGACCCGCTGGGACCATGAGAAACCGGTTCATGTGATATTCCTCGATTTCACGAAAGCCTTTTGGCACAGTATCTCATGAACTTCTCATTGACCCGATTTTATCACGGCCCCAAAAATGCGTAGAGAATAGGATATTTAATACCCAGGTTAATAGAGTGCATGCAAGTTGGATGGTCTCAACATCAGGAGTGCAACGGGAAGAGAACGATGAAAATCCCTCAGCAGCCTTTTTGTCGGACAGTACTGTCATCTACTTATTTCTTCTCCGTGTCTTTTAACAACACCTTTTGTTCTTCAGTCTTCCTCGTCTGAGCTTTATTTATGTGATTTTAATTAATTATATAATAATAATTTATTCTCAAATAACAGTTTGTTACATGAGGCATGCCAGTTTACAGGCTAGATCAAATTGATACAAATGATACAATATCCACTGTAGTAAATTACATAGCTTGG